CATTTTTAGTAAACCGCATATGTATCTCCTCTATATTTACTATATAGTGTAAATATAAAATATCAACTTAATCTACAGCAGGAGTCTTCAAATAGCAGTACAAAGCCACATACAGCCCGCGGACGAACTTTATACGACTTATAGACAACTAGACAAGAAGGAAAAATAACCAAAAATATAATACGATATTTTAGAATCACAATTTTTTGAGCAAAATTTGTTATTTATCCCGCTAAACAATTTTCTAATTTTATGATATTTAGGTACATAATTAATTTTTTTTTTACATTTTTTAAATATTTGTAACATTAATTATGTTCTTATTACTTTAAATAGTATAATAATAACTATGTCTATTTTATGTTAAAAATACATAGGTACTTTGAATTTTGATGGCTCGCTAAAAATCTCCTAATGTAGCTCTTCAAAAATATTAATTGGTGACCCCTGATCTACAAGTAGGTACATTTGATCACTTGTACTTATGCATAAAAAAAATTGTATAGATTATTAATAATAATAATAAATAATATTATTTACTTACGTAAATTAATTTTGTTTAACAAAACAATAACCTATACAATAGATAGGGAGATATTTATTGAAACCAAATATTTGTAATATGATAATCTCGCAGACTTAAGTGATAATTAATTAAGTGACTATGGTTACATATTAAAATACTATAGGTTTAATAATTCCTACCACTTAAAAAATCATTTAATTTTAATTAATGTAAACCACTGATAAAATTAAAAACAAACGGATATACTTCGCTCGAAATGGGGGTGGGCCACTGTTGTGATGAAAAGTTGAAAAGGTAGAGGGGAAATTGAATGTATATATATCTGTATACGGTGTTCGGTTTTGCTTTATCAATATATGTATATATATATTATTATAATATTAGTTTAAATATAATTACACATGCATTATACATTTTCTTTAATAATATTTGTTTAATATTGTACCTATTTCCCCGTTTTTCCAATGACTTTTCCCATTTTTTTGTTTCCATTTATTGGAAAACACCTGGAAAAATCAAAAAATGACATCCCTTAGAGAAAAGCTCTCTAATCTCTCCTATTAAAATAAATTATTTCCATGTAAAACGACCAATTTGTATAATTTTTTCAATTCGAAAACGGTCGTACTTATTTATATATAAATTTGATTGAGTATAAAGCAAATCAATTTATAATATTTTATTATTATAAAGCGCATATTTAGGTAAATATTACCTTGATTTGCTTATCGTGGATCGTTAAATCGTGGGAATGAAATAAATAATAATATCATCAATGTGTTTTTTCGTAGATATAGTATAGATTAGATAAGTTTAAATTCTAATTTTTCTAATTTTGTGGATAATTATTAAGAAAAATTAACTTTTAATGATCATACGTATGGTTTTTAACATCTTGGAAAAAGCTATTTTACATAGAAATGGAATAAAAAATTTTCTTTGAACTGTCCACTGTCCAGGTAATAGGTACCTATTATTCATAATAAAGAAACTCATCCGACACTCAAAGTAAAACTAAACACCCAGTTGAACAACCAAAACTCGCAAAACCATAAAACTAAAATTAAAAAAACTATGACTTTTTTTAAGATAATCCGTGTAATAGAACAGTTTCACTGACTTCACAGCACCTCTCGTATGTCGTTTCATGTTTTGCTTAGCTTGACCTAATGCTAAAGATCAGAATACGAGCGTAGTTGGGTGTATTGTATATGTATAATGAATTGTCTAGTCGTAACCTAGTTTAATCTCAACAACAGCAGGGTATTCATTATATCGTCGCATGTGATATTTTTTCAAAAATTATCATTCACCAAACTCCACTCGTATTTCCGTTTCACCTGGCATTGCAATAACGCATAAGGAAATAAGGGTTACTCAGGTCAAGTATATTTATATTATTCTAATATTTATTAATTGTACTTTGAGTAAAATTATATTGTTGTTAAATTGTGTTCAATTAAGTGATGAACACACATTTTAAATATCATCAACCCCTTACATTTCATTTCGGAAACCAAGGAGGTGTGCTGCAAGTGATGGAGGAGCCTGGGTTACTAAGTTCCCAAAGTTTCGTGAACACATGCACAGTTATTATTCAAATTTTTTTTTCAGAATTTATAAACGTTCAATAAATTATGAAAAATTGGAAATATTACCACGTTTGGGTAAGTCCAATATAAGTATTATTTCCTAATTTTAAGTCTCTACGTATTTTTATAACCAAATTACAGTAAAAATTAAAATTCCTTTAAAACTCAAAAATTTTGATGATGATACCGTAAGAAAGTAAATTAAAAAGGAAACAAAAAAGGTGTTTAGTGATTTTTCGATTAAATCATTTTTTCTGGTAGTAAACATCGTCCGTATTTTTATAAAATAATGAAATCGTGAAATTGTACGTTTTCCTAAGTTTTTTGCCGCTTAACTGCTTTTATTTAAAAATGGCCTCGAAAATACAAAAACGACCTCCTAAAGTACCATTTAGACAAATTGAGCTTTCAGAAATTTGCTATTTGTAAAAATCAGAGCTAGTTTACAAGAAAAGACACGTGCTCATAGACTAGAAAAAAATAAAAATAAAGAAAGAAAAAAATAAACACCTTAGTAAAACCAATAACTTTTGCTACGCTGGGGATTTAAAAAATATGATTAATGTAGCAATAATATGGAAATAATAGTAATTATAACAATAAAAATCAACGTAATTATTCAAATAATAATGATTATGATAGGAAGAAATTTAACTATGATATTAATTTTCCAAATAGTAACGGTTGAACGAAAAATAATTTGAATATTATTAATAATAATTTTATAAATATTCATTAATACGCACATTGTTGTAATCAATTTACCATAATATGACACAGGAGCGGATAGGCCCATCGGGATACTAGGATTTCCCAGACGTGCCCTTACTTATATTAAAGAAAATGGGCTGATGAAAAATACTGCTATTGTATATTGTACATAAAATACGAATATTCAAAGTTAACACAAATAATACTATATTTTATATTTAAATCTAGTTTAAATCGTAATGAATTATCATTTGTATTCCCAGTATGCTTTATTCATAAGTATCATTACGCGGCGTCATTATTAACTAAGTACGTAAAAACTCACAAAAATAAATTGTCTATAAATAGTTCAAAAATCTTTGAAATGTTTATAAAATTTGACTACGTCTAGAAAAGCAAATATTAGTTACCCATACAAATTCGAATTTCAACGAATATTGAATTACAACAAAAAACAAAATTAAAAATAAAGAAATCATTATTTCCTTAAAGTTTTCGTTTTTCCTGTTTTACATAATTATTGAAAAAAACTAAACAGAAAAACGAAAAACAAATTTCTTTATCAAAAATGTATTTTGTCGTTTTTCTATTTGAGTAATACTTCTGGTAGAAAACATAAACCGTACAAATTTGAAATAATTAATTAATGCCGCGACGCTCCGTAAAAGTTTGCCGTTTTAACCATAATTTCGTTACAGGTTTTTCCAAATTATTTTGAAAATCCCTAAAAAAATTTAAAAAATGACTTATTAATGCACCACCTAGATCAAATTAATTTTCAGAAAAGGTGCTACACTCGATACACTGGTACAAGTTTTCTCTTCGAAAAGTTGTTTACAGACAGAAGAAATAAAAAATAAAAAAAAAACGCATCATAGTTAAACTACTAAACCAATAGATTCCTCGCTACGCTCCGAATCTAAAAATAAATTTATGGAAGCAGCTTTTGGTGTAGACGCGAACAGCTATAGCACCCGTCATTTGTCATCGACGACAAATATAAAATGTTGAGCATAACCAATTATAAAATTAAATATGTATAGTTTATATACTATATGTCTGTACGACTATATTAAATTATTAATGCAATTGTTATTATTATTTTACCAAATATTGTCAATTCTATATTTAATAAATACAAATAAAATCGTTTGTATTTCGATGGTCGGTACATGAACACGTTTATACGCAGATCCAACATGCCTATACAATAATTATAAATAAATAATTTACATGCAGAAATAAATTAATATATAAATAAATAAATGAATGCGTCACCTAGAGTATTATGATGTGTATTGTACAACCGCTCTCGAATTAAAAATTCATCAGGTAAATAAATATTATGCAATTGAAATATTTTCGGATATTTTGAAATTCGTTTTTCATTAGCTTTTATTATAATGATATGCTTATATTAGTTAAACTAGCCAAGACCCTGCGAGTCTGAAATTGTGCGTCCATACTGACCTCACCTAGAATTATTTCTTGTAAGCAATCGGTTGACCTTATGCATTATGATGATACTTAGGTATATGATTAATGTGTATCTAGGTAATTACATGGATTCTATGATTATATTGATTATTATTTGATTATAAATACGGCTGTACATTATTACTACAGTTTGTGGAGTGTGAATAAAACAGAAAGCGCGTTTGATATTAAAATATTGTTAAAAATTACAATTTGGATACATTAAAATATAATTTACAAATACTGAAATACCGAATTTAAGTTATAAAAACACTAACAGAGGAGGTCAAAGCTCGATGTGACGTCACATGAATTTATTATTGATACACGTGCTATAATAGGTACGTCGTTTTTTTTTTATAAACTGTTCGTATTTTATATTAATGTATATAGTATTATCATTGATTGGAAATATTCACAGACCGCCGCTGCAGACGAATGACGATAATATAATAGAATTATTTTGCGACTCGGTTTAAAATATTGTGATAAATGATTATAGTAAAAATGTAATATGAAATGTGTGACGATACTACTCTCACAAAAATGTTCTATTGAAAATAGAAATGCATAATCGAAAGCGACTGATAGCCGATACATAGTATCCAATTAGAAGAATAAAAAAACTAGCATTTAAAATGCATTATTATTTATCAGTCGGTATATTTTATCTTATTAGAAGCACGATTTTTTCTTCATCCATGAATCCTGCAGCCGTGGTTATCATCGACACAAAAATTCGACACCAAATTAAACTGACGGCATGTGCAACGTACGGCGAATGTACGCCGTACGGTGCTGGCCACCTGCAGCAAGAACTACCGTAGCGCACGTTTATCGTAGAATCGTTCGTCAGTCATCATTCATCCTTGGTGGTGATCTTTATCTGCGTTCATTCGACTGACAACAGTTTTCACCGAAGCAGTGGATGGCAACAATTAGGTACCGACGAATACGTATGATTTAGTGTGCTAGATGCTAAAGTGCCTACTACAGCGGTCGATTATCGTCGAGTTCTACCCAGCGGTACAACGCGAGCCGAAATCCACGACCGATACGTCCCGTGTTCTGTCGTCACTACGGTTGAAAATTTAAAATGCCCACTCGAAGTATCTGATAACTCTTCTGTAGTGGTTGTGTGCCCGCCGCTAGTTAAGCACGTGATAACTCTAAAACCACAACGTACGAAACCACGAAAACCCTACACTCGCGTTTTGCATAATTCTTTTGTGCGACTGCAGTTGATCTAACGTAACTACGAACGATTGTTAATTACAGAAACGTCGTGACAATTGGACGTCTGGTGTTTTTGTTTGTAAAAATATTATGAATAGCTACAAATTTTTGTTTTTTTTTTTCGCGTAATTTATTCATTTTTATTTGTACATTTTTATTTTATTTTCTCATACGATATCTTTTTCATAAATATTTTTATTGTTAATGATAATAAGTACCTATCTATTATTAAGTAAATTGTCAAATAAAGTATATATATTATATATACATATAAATAATTTACGATATTATAGTTTGTTGACTGTGATAGAAACTTTCCATTAAAAATAATAATGTTTACAAAAGTTAGAACTGTGTGGCTTTGTGTGTGGCTTATGACCACTGTTATCCATTCGTTAGCCGCAGAAGATGAAGATGGTGGTTTGCTACCTCCTACAGTTGTACCGGCCACGGTTGGATCGCCAACTTCTGAACAAACTACTAGTCATGTAAACGTCGTTTCCCTGGGATTCGTACATGCCTTTGTAGCATCACTTTCTGTGATCGTTGTTTCAGAATTGGGTGACAAGACTTTTTTTATTGCTGCTATTATGGCAATGAGACATTCAAGAATTACAGTATTCGCTGGTGCCATATCTGCACTTGCACTTATGACTGTTTTATCAGGTAACAATTTCATTATTTTATTATACCATTTTTTTTTTTTTTTCTAGAATATAGGATTTTATATTAGATTAGTTTTTAGTATAAAAGTAAAACCCTACTATGTTTTTACATTATCCAGATTAATATACATGATTCGAAATTGATCATTTTTGTAGATTTTGATATGTGTATGAGTTTAACTGTTTATTGCTGATTCAACCCTTAATCAGATAGGTAGCAAAGCAAAACAAAATCATCTAACATTTTAATTGAATAAATATTTACTTCCTTACTTACCTATTTAATTTGTTTTGTGCATTTTAGATTCTAAACCTACTTAGGTTTGTCTTGTTTCTTATGAGTTATGAGTGGATTTTTTTTTTAAACTTCCATTAATAAATATGTTTATCTATTCTATAATAAATGAACACATTTTATAATATTATATTGTTTTTTTCTATTTCTACTGCTTGATTTAGAATGATTTTTTCAATATCTAAATACAATTGTTTTAGCAACTTTTCCGTAAAACCTAAAAAAATAATATATTCAATTTTAAAGCTATCTTGTATTATTAATTTACAGACAAAATTAAGAATAATTTACTTTTATTGTTTTTTTAATTTATTATGTACAATTTATATATAAGTAGGTGAATATTTAACTTCAAAATTCAAACTCAACTAATTAGGTACAGGTACTTACCATAGGATATTGTGTTGCAGAAATTTTTGTTATTTTGTTGGTACCTAATTAGATAATGCAAGGTAAAGTTTTTCTACCAAGGCACTCTAGTGCTAGGTAGTTAACATATATGTATTGCCATTATGCCATAATGTGTTTGCCATTAGTATGTAGTTATAATTTTAATTTCAGAATAAAATAAATTGAACACATTTGCATGAGACTAGAATAGATCTACTGACTATAATTTAACAACATCAAAGATTTAAGATATAACTTCTGTATCTATCTTAGATTTTGAATAAGCATCTTGTATATAAATTTATAACTAAGCACTTACTTAGTATTACATAAATTGCACAAACATTTAAACATTTATTATAACCTATTGTAGTACATACACCTATATAAAACAAATTGATGTATTAATAAATTTAAGTACAGAAGTCATGTGTGTTTTAAGTAATGTTAGTCAGTATTTGGTAAACTGATTTCTCTTGTTTGGCAGTAAACATATTGAACATGTTTGAGTTATGTTGGCATATTGTCAAATTGACCCATCTTTAATGGTCAAATTGACTAAGAATTATTTTGACAGTAGGTGCAGTAGGTGAGTAGGTAAAAAAATTATACATCTACCTAAGTAATTATTGGTTATAAATATTTCAAAATGATTTTATTAATATCAAATGAAACCAAATTGTGTGTAGGTGTTGTGTGTTTCCTTAACCTCTAAATCACTCGTAGGTTGCATACTAAATTAGTGCCAATAACATAAGTTTTAAAGACATATTTCTATAATAAATTCTGAAAAAAAAAAAAATTTAGTGAAATGAAATGGTCTTATAAATATAATTTAAAATGACTAAAAGCTTAAATTTATATCAAAATATTTTAATGAAATAACTAAAAAAAGTACATTTTTTTTTCAATTGTATATACAAGCAAAACTATGCCGGACAGTATTCTTTAAATTTAGTTCCTATAAATATTTTATATGTACCTAAATTATTACATTTTTTTTTTTTTTTACAGTTTTATTTGGATATGCAGCAACAGTTATACCTCGTGCTTACACATATTACATATCAACAGCTTTATTTGCGGCATTTGGACTTAAAATGTTAAGAGAAGGGTTCAAAATGTCCCCTAATGAAGGACAAGATGAACTTGAAGAAGTGCAAGCAAATTTACGACGAAAAGATGACGAGGTAAAAATTATCTAAATTATGCTAATCAATTTGTAGGAAGCTTTTTAGTAAATTAATTTTTATAGCATTTGATAGTTTGATTATGTATGCATTAATGAAAGTGGTGTTATAATTAATTAAATTTTTAATAATTGCTCATTTTTCATTTAGGTATCTATTGTTCAGTATTTAAAAATTATTTCAATAACATCAATATCATATGTAAAGTTGAAAACTTTTAGTTTCTTGAAATAGTTACTTATGTTTCGCAGTATAGTACAAAGAAGGGAATTTTTACCAAAATGGGTAATTTTGAAAAACAAAGACAAAAGATAAAAAAACAAGTTTTAAATATTTTGGATAGCTAATAGGTACATAACAATAAATTAGACTTTATTGCCATATGTGTGTTATTGTCATCTTCACAGCATTTTCATTATTTTGATAAAATACAATGTATGTCAATTATTATTATCATTAAAAATATTATATTTATTATTTTATTATAATATATATTTGTTTAAGAATTTATCATCCCTATTTTATGACTTATGTGGTATTGTAGTTGTAGGTATATAATATATTGAGAGCAATTGTTAATCTGGGTAGTTTGAGGGAAATTGGTACATGCTTGTATGATATAGTGTTGTAAATTATGAACCATGACTCTATTCATCACATTTCTTATTTAGTATCAAATATTTCAAGTTCAAATTTGTAACTTGTCGCGTCACAAAGTTATTTTTATTATAACATTTATTTTTTGGTAAATAAAAATAAGTTTTCCTTTAAATAATTTTTATAAGTAGATGATTCACAAATTTAATTATGACACCACTAATTTAACATAAATTTGTGATAGTTGTATGTTACGTGTAATCTAACTAAATCAATAACTTATTGAGCTTGTTTTTAAGTTAAATTTTTACCAATTCAAATATATAAGTAACATTTTATTATAAACCATATTTACTATTTTATTTTAATAAATTCTGCTATCCAGTGTATCCAAGTAACTAAAATATTTGTTTTTTTTTCTATTCAAACAATCACTTTTAAATGCATGAATAATAAATACCTATAGGTACTGGCTATACTTGTATACAATTTAATAATTGCATTAAAGTATAAATAGAATCTGAATATTATTATTATATTTAATCTCTAATTTTACTTTATTGTAATTTTAGATGGATATATATGTCTTTATTATATATTTTATTGCAACCAAATAAATGAAATTATAGTTGTATTTATTTATTTAAAAATAATTCTTTAAAATATTGAATTCATATATTTATTATATTGTTGAGTACTTTAGAGAGGTAATGTGATAAAACTAAAAATTACATATTTAATTCACATATATTTATTCATCTTCAAAGCAATAGAACATGATTAGACCATAATACCTGTTTAAAAGGTTTTCTAATTTTTGTTCTAATTGCTTCTAGCCAATACTGATGCATTTATTAGTTGGGTAAAAGACATTTTATTTATTTATGCTTAGCTTAGCTTGTATTTATCATATCTATAATTGATAGTTCAAATACTATAGTTCAATTTCTCTAAATGCCTAATTGTATTTTTCCGTAGTGATTATCACATTTTCTAAAATTATTAATAATTTATGATTAGAGTTTCATAAATACTAACCCATAATATTTAAGTTAATTACTGGTGTGTTTTTTTGTTTGTTTTGTTCTGTATTTATACTTTTCTTTATTATGTTATGTGGTGTTAGAAATTGAATTTTTCTTTCAATGTCGGGGTTAACAATATTAAGATTTTTCATTTGGATAGTTTGGATTTGACATAATCACAAATTTTAAATATATTCAAACAAAAAATATTTAATTGGACAGACAATTTTTGGTTTTTTTTTTAACAGCATAACAAAATATATGTTTAACTCTATAATTTGGAAACCACTGTTTATTCAAATGTATAATCTCTGAACTGAAATATTTATGTATTTATAAAATAATAATATTATAAAATCTAAAATATTTTTGAATACTAATGATTCAATAATAAATGTACATCTTAATTTCTATTATAAACTCTACGGGCAATTATTTTTTAAACTTTACACAAATAACCTAGCCTTTGTAGTTCCTTTAAAATCAACAAAATGTTGGTTTGGGTATAGTAAGCCTATTTCAAGGTTATCACTATCAATTATTTTTTAGAATAAATCTAGTTTTTCAAAATGGTTTTTGATGTTTATTTTGAAAATTTTGATATTTTCACTGAAATCATTATTATAAAAGTTAAGATAAAATAACTTTAAAAAGCAAAATTAGTTAGAAATAGAAATGATGGTGCAATCAGAATTATTTGAAAATTGTTATTTTAGAAGTTACAGTTTTTCAAAGACTATGTCACTATAATTACTTAACACATGTAATGTAATTATTAAATACATGTGAATGCGGGAATGGCTGTATATACATACCATCTTTGCTTGTTGTTTCAACTGTTAATATGCTGTCCTCTTTAGTTTCTCTCTTTTTACCGGTAGAAGGAGGCAATAATACTACTGATCTACCCTAAATTTTCAATCTGATATTACTACAAGGAGGATAGTGTCCTAAATTTAAATTTAAACCTCGCTACACAAAACAGGGGTTTCAGCAACCCTAATAATTTGATCGATTATCTCAAACATGCAGATTTAACTTCATTTGCTATAAATAATAACAAATAATATATTAAGTCTCCTTAAGTACATGCTGTACCCAATATTGTAGAATTAAAAATGCTGATATCTCAAAAATGAAACATGACTACTATATTATCATTACGCGTAGTTTTATATTACAGTTTTCTTGGTAAATGAAAAAAACGAAAATAATGTTCTCAATCATCCGTTCAGCAGTGTTATATGATAAAAATGTTCTCTTAGGTGTATTTGATAACCACTCCCGGATTTAGGAGGTTGTGGAAAATATGACCTCTTTACCCAGGAATGTGAAGGGTTCATTGTGCCACTATTTATTCATATAAAAGGTTGTCTAAAATGTTGAAGTTTAAAAACGTAAATACAATTTATACAAAAAAAAAGGTTCATTTTTAAGTTCAGAACATAGGACTTTCAATCTGGCTTATTTTCTTATTAGTTTAAAAAATTGTAAACATCTAAGAGATAAAATATAAAAATCTAAATAAAATTCTGAGTGGAGCTTGCTAAAACATTTTTTGCTAATTTTGTATTGAATATTTTATTATTACTGAATTGGTAATATTGTATTTTCATGATTTTTAAAATTTATTAGGTTAAAATTGTTTTTCATCAATTGTTACATATGGTTATTCTTGTATCATATTTTTGAGAATTTATGAGTAAAAAAAAAATGAAAATTTTAAATATGCCTCTAAAATAATGAGGAGTGAAGCATTTTAAATTGAATACCTACTAATTCACCATAAATAATAATGTTTATTTAGATGTGTGCATAATGTAATATTTACTTATTTATTTTTGTATACAATTTGAAATTTTTTTTAAAAAAATCGATAATGGTTAAAAAATTGTATTTTACTTGTACAGTTTTTTTTACAATACATTTGTAAATTCATAATTAGGAATATGAATTATCAAAAAATAATTAAAATAATTTGTATTTAATTATTAAATTGGTTTGAATAATTATGTGACTTACTATGAGTGTCATTATTATAACTAATAATCAAAATAATTTGTGATAAATTATAATTGATAAAGAATAAATTGAATATTAAATTTATTAAATGCAATTATAAATTAATTTTTATCTTCATTATGTTTATTCTTATTTATTTATATAATAATATTCTTTAAATTAATATATTTTATATCTGTACCCAATATATATATATACACAATATATTTATATTATTATTATTATTTTTTTTTTTCTGTATTTTCGTAACGTTATCTTCTACGCGCTTCTTTGGGCTGTTAAATTGTTTGGGAATAAATATTTAAATATCTAAAGAACAAGAAGAATAAGAAAGAGGAGTCACCAGTCACTGAAAATGATGATAAATCTCCAGCCGTTGTACCTTCCGTGGTTGAAACTATCAATGTGACTGTTGACATTAATACTGACTTAAAGGTAAGAGAAACAAAACAAATATTTTCTTTGTTATTCAATGATAATAAATCATAGATTTGATCAATTATGTTTAATAATTATAGTAAGCATTATCAACCATTTACAATGTATGATAACATTATTTGTTCATATTATTACAGCATGATATATTTCCTCTGCAATATAACCGCTCGTAGATTTTGATTAGATATTTAATTAGGTGTAAGACATATTTCACTTAATTTCTTAACTCAAGTAACTGATATCTAATCGCATCTCTCTGAAGTACTCAATTGAAATATTATAAAATAATAATATAATATTCAATATTTCAGATTTGGAATGATTGTATGTAAAACTAAAGAATTATTTTTTGTTAATATTGTTTTCAACACAGGACATTGATATAGAACAAGCGGCCCCAAAAAGATGTCGCTTACAACTTGGCAATACAAGTTTGTTGATTGTGTCAAAGACTTTAATTCAGGCATTTACAATGACATTTCTTGCAGAATGGGGTGACCGTAGTCAGTTGGCAACTATAATTTTAGCTGCTAGAGAAGTAAATAAAATCAAATTTTAGATGAAATAGTTTGTGTAATTTTTAATTATTTTTAATGATAATGTTAAGGATGCCTATGGTGTTGGACTTGGTGGAGTTTTAGGTCATTCCTTGTGTACCGGTTTGGCCGTTATTGGTGGTCGTTTTATTGCTCAAAAAATATCTGTGCGAACTGGTAAGTAAAACTATGATTGACAAAATATTTGAATATAAAAAAAATAACTATATATTTGTTGTTTTTAATAGTTACAATTGTGGGTGGTGTTGTATTTTTAATGTTTGCCCTGACTGCATTAATGTTTGACCCAAATGAAGGTGAAACGTAGCCATAACAATTTCATAACAATTATGGCCATTGCAAATGCTTCAAACTCCAGTTTCAGAGTTAAGCATACTTAGTTTTTCTGTGATATTTATATTTCACTATAAGTATGTTAGCATGCTTTCATTCAAGTTAAAAGTACAATGCAATCAGAATATTGTGTTTTTGTATTATTGATTGATTAATTTATTTGTGTTATATTTATGTAAGTAAATAATTTTAAATATAATTGTTATCATCATCCTTAAGGTTTAAATATATATGTATTTTTTACATATAATAAAACATTTTGATCTTTTTATCTTAACACATTGTTATTTATGTATAATTTATTAATGGTATTCATATTATATTTTTTTAGTAATGATTCTTTTTACAATAAATAGTATGATAATGTGTCATACATATTATAAATATATATATGTCAAAATTATAATTAACTTTAAATAAATTATATTTGTTTTTATCATTGTTAAATTTACCTCTTTAGGAACAAATCAAGAAAAAAAAACTGATATTGCCTAGTTATGATGCCATTGTTGTAGTTGTGAAATTGGGAAGACAGGTTACATTTATCATTATCTGTACACAACAATAAATCATTACTAATAAAAAAACATATCTCAATGAAATTTGGTTATATGTTTTGAAATATTGTGATTTTTAAAATTTTCATTTAATGTGAATTTAAAACATTTATAGAAATCTACTTTCATTACTAGGTGCAACTCATGATTAATTTGTGTTAAATTTGCTAGCATTTCTTCAGAGTTGAAACAATTTTATCTATGTAAAACTAAATAAAAACTAATATAACTATAATTATATCTCTTCTTGAAAAGTGTAATATAAGTATTTTGAAAAAAGGTCAGATTTCTACAATTATTTTTAACTAAATTATAATAAAAATCAAAAAATGACTCGCTAATTGTTAAACTAAATAAAATTTACTTTTAGAAAAGATGCTATAATTAATACTCAGTGATTTTATGTAGAAAAGTTTTTCACTAAAATAAAGCAGTAATATACTATAAGAAAATGTATATATTCCTTGATAGAGAATAAAACATCAAATTTTTGACAGCTAAAAACTGGAGTATTGACTACCTCATAAATTCTTAGAACCTATCTACAACTTTTGGATCATAGATCAAAAATTTCAAGGTCAAAAATCAAAATTTGATACACATAAGTACCACATGAGTATAATTGAACAATCATCTGGTGATGATCAGTTGTTAGATGTTCATTACATTATATACTCATGTATTTCTAGTATAATTTTTCTGATTTTTGAGGGAAAAAATTGTTATTTTGACAATCTGAAAACTGAAACATTATACCAATAATTTATTAAGGTCTGTATTGAAAAATATCTGGGTCTTGGAGGGCTGTTGGACAGTATTTTGAACTAATGATACAGATTTTCAATTTAATCTTAAGTTTGTCCCTATATCATAGTAAGACTTAAAAGATATTATTAAACTAACAGTAGTAAAAATCTGTTGGATTTTGATGAAACGTTCACCAGGGATTCATAATTAATTGGATAATATTTTCACTTGTCATTCCGATTTTTGAACTGATAAATTATTTTTGTACATCAAGTTTCAATCATTTGATTTAACTTTACACTAACCGTAGGTATGTAATTTTACAGCCTTATGTAAGACTGTTCCAATGACCTTTGCTATGTTACTTTTTTGAAAATATATTTTTAAAACTAGTTAGTAATTAATTTTGATTTAGTATAATTCTATACTACGCTGATTGCTTAGCAATTATAATAATATAAAGTATGTAGTAGTTTTTAGTCTGATAGTACCTATTAAATTATATTAATTGCTTTAGTTGTTCATAATGTTATGACACAATTGAATAGGGTTATAGTGTATTTTAATTTTTTTATTTAGTTATTTAATATTTATTTGGAATTTAGAAAAACTTATATCATGGAATAAAGGTAGCATTAAAAACAATAAATAATTAACAAAATGCATATGAAATATTTAAATTTTATCGTAGAAAAGTTGATTAGATTAATTACAAATTACAAAATCAGTTATACATTATAAGTTTACTGAAATAGGTACTTATAACAATGTAAATAATAATAATTATAAAAAGGAATGTAGGTATATAAATTTGACTGGTTTGACTAGATTCAATAAGTTTGAATATTATTAAAACACTTATTGGGCAGTTATGGGCAATATAAATTTAAAAATAATTTAATAATTTAAATGTCAGATGAAGACGCAGTAGATACATTAGCGGTTGTACTTTGCACAACTTGGTTTGTACAGGATTTGGATAGTGGAAGGAAATTTGGTCGAATGATTGCATTAACGTTTGGACAACACTCTTCAACTGGTGTTTGGATGGCAGTGATATCCGTCTGTGTTTCGGCCACACTCTGTGTCGATGGACTGACACATCGCAACACATGGTCCATTGATTGTTGCAGTTGTTGGACCTGAAAGACAGTATATTTATTTAAATAATTCTTATTTATTATAATTATAGATGTGCTGTAACACCTTTTTGTGAGGGGAGTTGTGTATATTAAGTAATTATATTTAAAAATGAATAAAATGAAAATGTAAATAAAAAAAAAACACATACTTCCTTATAATAAGTCTTTTTAAATTAAAATGGTTCAACCTATTTTGTATTATTATTTTTTATGGTGGCATTTGGCCAAAATAAATTTTTATCTAAATAATGGTACATATATTTGTTTATTTTTTATTTTTTATTTTTGCATACATAGATCAGTTGTTATTAAAATCAACCTGTGAATAACAATACGATTGCATATTTAATATTGGCCAAGAAAAAATATTAAAATAAGCTATAAACATTTTGGCGAAGGTTATTATCATCATAACTAAGCTTACCATTGTCTAAAAATTAAAAGATAAGTTACATAAAGTTATTTAATTAACGAGCATTGATAAACCATTGCTAACCAAATTCTGAGCAAAGGTCAGTTGCTATATGTTTTAAAATGCCGTAATATTTACAATTTTCTAACATTTCTGTTTGACTAATCAATTTTATCCATACAGACCCTATATATATTATACGTACCAAAGAAAAATTACATATTAAAAATATATGTAAATATTTGATCCCTTTTTTCAATTATTATGAAAACCCATTTAGAAAATCAAAAAGTCATATCTTTAATGTACCATTAAGATACAAAATGAAAGTAAGTTGTTTTTTTTTCATTTTTGATTGAAGCAAGATTGCTAATAGAAAAGTTATTCATAGAAAAAAAAAAAAAATGTAAACATCATTGTAAAACCAAAACATTTCTCATTTCATCATAGTAAAACAATAAACTAAACAAACAAATGTAAATGTTTAGCTTTTAGATTCTTATCTTAACAAGGAATGTATTAATTTTATTATGATGTTTATTATTATTGTTTTCTGTGGACAACATGCAAAGCAATTATTTCTCCGGACTAAAATTAGTTCACGGAAAAAAAATATCTAATAATTATGGTAAAATCGATGCATTCTTTAATAATCTCAGAATCTAAAATGTATATATTTTCTAGTAAATTTAAGTACATACCTATTCATAATATATTATTAAACTCAATAAAAATATTGTATGATAATATTAATTTATATTTTACTTTCCAAGTTATTATTATTTTTTTTTTAATACTTCTATTTTGAAAAATAAAGTTAGATCATATTGATTATATAGACATCAATGTTACATCTTAATTTAATTTGTTTTATTATATCAACTTTTAGGTATTTAATTGAATATTGAATGTATACCTTAGTATCCAATGAAGAGCATGCTTGACATTTGGAATCACTATTATTTTCACCACCTATTCGATTATCCATATTGTTTACCTGTAATTATTGTGTATTAATGTTAATTTATTAGTATATTTTGTATTAAACTACTATAAAGCCAACATAATCTAAGCAGATATATATTAGGGTGCCCCTTATATTTATCAATTTCAATATTTCTTCAGTCTCACTCCCCCTCTTCCCTAATTAATGTATATGCATTCAAAAAATGAGCTATAAAAAGTTTTAGAGCAATCTATTAAGATTAACACGTGCCAACTTGAATTTAAAATTTGAGTACATTAATTCACTCGTAATTTAATGATATATTCACATTTTTATTAATATCTCAGTTACATATGGGGAAATCTTATTTTGTTACATAATATATTTCAAATAAAATAAAATTGTCTATAAATTATATTCTTACATATTTTTTTTAAATTTTTTTTTCATTTACAAGATATATTGAATTTGATGTATAAAATGTACTATTTTCTCAAAATTGTATTGTATATATTTATAAATAGATACACACAACTACAGAAATTATAAGATCATGTGGAAATTATAAACATTGTGCAGCTAAATATTATCGTATTTTTTCCTAGATAAGAACCACAATATTGTAGTAATTACGTCTTGTAATTTGTCTTGTACGTCGTCTACTATAAAATTTTAAGAATTTTAAGTTTTCCCATATATAACTAAAATATTCATAAAAATGTAAAATATATCATTAAATTATGAGTGAATTTACTCAAATTTTAAATTCAAGTCGACACATGTTAACCTTAATAGATCTTTCTAAAACGTTTTAGTAATTCATCTTTTTAATGCATATACTCAAATTGGGGGAGGGGGGAATGAAACTGAAGAAATAATAAAATTGATAAATATAATAGACATAATATCCTAATATATATATATATTTAAATATAGTCTTTCAAACAAATAGTGACTAGAAAAAAAAAAAAATTCTGAACTTGTTCTTGATTATAAGTATTTATAAAATGAAAATTTAATATTATATAAATATTATTGTATTGAACTGCCGCACCCACCACAAGCTACGTTTTTAGGGTAGCATCAAAAATTTAAAATTTCTTATTTTTACTTTTCGATAATAAATTATTATTATTATTATAACCACTTTTTGAATTTTTATTTTTATTAGTAAATTGCATTTTTCCTTATAACATTATCCGAAGTTTAATGGAAAGACATAGTGGCATTATTATTACTAATTTGGATGATTTTGATCTTGTATAAAATTTAGTATAAATTACATGGTATCTAATAAAAGTAATTATTATATTATAGAGAATATAATGAAATTATATTTATTTTTAATCATACCTTTTTCCATAATTCATTGATCGCTTGCATTTGTAATATAACCAGTTTATGTTCTTTTTCTAGAGTACTTTTGGTATCTACTAAATCTTTACTCATTTGTCTAGAAAAACAAAGAATTATGAACAATTTTGAAAATCAAATGATTTCAGATCAAATATTTTATACTTAATGTATTCATTGAAACGTAACATTTGAACATGTTGGTATACACTGGAAACATTTTTGTTCAAATTTCTAGCGCGATATCCTCGCCACATTTTTTGTATTATAATGGCCGATTGGTGCAAGTCTACGTAAATCATACATTAGTTTATTTCACATCCATATTGCGTTATTATCAGTTTTGAAAAATGGATACTGTTTGTATCTATTTCATGAAATAGAGATTTAAACTATACACAGTAGAACTCGTTCCGTCATTTGGAAGTCCATATTTTATTTAACATACTATTTTTTTACAATTTAATTATTCGATGATCTATTATTATTAATTTGATAAATGTATTATTGATATTAAAATACTAAAAATATTTAAATATAATATAGTACATTATTTTATTAAAATGTAATTTTATGAAAAAAAAATGCTACAATGAAATTAATACTAAGATTTGGGATTTAGTACAAGCCAAATTAAAGAAGTAAGTTATTTCATTAACAATAACAATTTTTTTTTATTCTATATGTTATTAATAAGCTTTAAATTTTTACTTTTATAAAAAAAACTAGGTGTGAATATTATCCTTTTATCTGTGCATTTTTCATTGCCATAATTCACAAACTTGTTTTCTTAATAATAATAATAATAATATATTTGTTAAAAAAAAAAAAAGTAGAATTTAATGTTTTGTTATATGGATATCCAAATGAAGGAACAAGTTCTATTGCGTATAGTTTAAGTATCCTTTTAATATAAATGTTATCCATATTGTGTAATCACACTAAGGTTCTATTTTATTAAAAGAATACGAACATTGTTTACAAAATGAACAATAATACAATAATGATACAACATATATATTGTATATATTCATATACAATGTTCATAAAATGGTTTTACCTTTGTTCTCATTGCCATTCATTTGTGATGCTTTACTTTTAATCATTTTTAGTTTGTCCATAGTAGGAGCTCTTGACTCTTCTCCAGCTGGTGTTTGAAGACCAACTACTGATCTTGGCTTAGGTACATTGGGCGTTAATGGACTAGGTAAAGAGTCCAATATCGGCAACATAGTACTTGCAGCTGGTAATGGTGGAGACTGCACAAAACTGTTGACTTCAGTCACTGGCAAATGAACACTACGAGACATACTGCTAGGTGTTGCTTGACAACTATCCGATCCTGTGGAAAGCCTCTGAGTTGTAGACTTTAAAATACTGGGGTCTAGGCTTCTGGTCATCAACGAGTCTTTTCCTAACTCCTTTGTACTAGGTACACTCGTTCCTTAAAAATAAATATAAATAAATACAAATTTAAAACTTATGTTGAATCATAATAGTACTGTGTAATTGTTCTCTATATTGTTGAGCTTTACTCAAAACTAATCTCAATTTTCTTTCTTGTTCAGTTTCTAAAGCATGGCTAGTAAGTGGACATGTTTCCATCAAATATCGCACGAGAGCTGTATGTTGACCAGAGTGAAATTTTCTTCCCTGACCTTGGCTATACAACCATTCAGCCTTTAAACTAAAATAAATCTAAATTAACCACAAGCATAGCTATACATTTTCCAGAAGTTCTACAAAAGACATAAAAATTAAACTTAAATAATATTAATATAACATGTTTATTTGATATAAACAAAAACGAATATTTTAAAATGTATACTTTTCAATGTCATCTACAGCATAGCCATCAACTATCTTCACACTAGGACACCAATTCACAATGAATGGCCTATAGTTAAATGTGTATCCTTCGAGACAACTATTACCAGTTAAAGTGATTTCTTTGAGAGAACCAAGTCGAAAAAGCTGTGATATTTCGTTCAAATCATTAAGCTTATTATTAGCTAAAGTTAAAGTGAGCAAGTTGGTCGGAAGAAAATGTTGACAGTTTGTTAAATGACAAATTTGATTTGAATGTAATAACAATGTCTATAATAGCGATAAAATAATATTTATTATTATTGCAAATAGTGTATATGTAAATCAAGAATCTACATAAAATATACAAACTTCAAGTTTTAAAAGATGACTTAAATTAGTTATATATGCTATACTGTTAAACGATAAATCAATGTGTACCAAATTAACATTGGATGACAAATGTTCAATAACCTTAAGACAAAAATTTATTTTAGAAAAACTAAACAATTATAAACTAGTAAAAATTGAAAATTTACTTTGATTTTGTTATTTGACAAATTAAGATATGCCAAATTTGTTAAATCTCTGAGCCCTTCAATACTCATTAAGTGATTATTAGATAAATCTAATTTTACTATTTTTGTTAATCTTGCTACTGTATACATTCTCATCATCTGATTGTGATTTGCAATCAACTAGAAAAAATATATTTCTATTTTATGTAGAAACAAAAACTACTAATTATTTTTAGGTTTGTATACTTCAGTAAGTTCAGTGAAATGTTCAATATTTTCCAATTTTTGTAAACAGTTTTTGCTCACATCTAAAATTTTAATGTTCTTATTGTATTCAATTTTTGGTAATTTACGCAATTCTTGACTGGATAAATCTAATAAAGAATTATCTGCAATTTAAATTAATCATTAAGTAATTTTAAGAATTATATTAACATAAATACTCTAGTAAATACTTAATGTATTTATATTAAGTTTAGGTCTACTAAGGTACTTAAAATAAAATTTTTATTTTAACAATCATACAATTATTGTTAGGTTTTGTTTTTTTGGTAGGATCTGTAGAAATATTAGAGGTGGAAGTATAACTTTTGAGTTTGAAAATAAAAAAACAATCAAATTATCTTAAAGTGATAACTTGTTATTAAAATTAATAATATATCAATATCACTCTCACAAAATAAAACCAAATTTCATTCAAATACTTTTGGGTAATTTTTTAATTAATTTATTAAAGAAGCAAAATAATTTATATGAAGTCATCATATTAAATGGCACTTATTTTCGCAATAATAATTAATATTTTTTTTTTTTTTAATTAAAATTAATCAACTTAAATAACAACTCAAAACAATTAATTGGTTTACCAGTCATTTTGGTGAAGAAATAAAATTATTATTAATAATAAAATTATTCTACTTTAAAATTTATAAACTATAATTCACTTCAAATGAACTTAAAATATTAATATGTTATGATTTTAATGAAAAACAAATATACATTTTGAAAGTTTTATTTTATAATTTCACAATATTCACTATTTATTTTCAACTTAAAATTTAGATCATATATTATATATATATATATAAGATTTTCAATAAATACATAATTTGCCGATTTTTATCAAGTAACCGAGTATCAGTATCACTATCTCTATAATAATAAACTAACTAGAACTTAGAAACAAGTTATCAATATGAGATATTATAATGCTAAAGTTAAAGACGGATATTAAGGAATTTGATAATATTTGATAATAGTTACATATTTTTATTGTTTGATATTATAACGATAAGTACGTGGTATGTAAATGATTTTTAATTTTCGTAATAATTCTTAGGTACGCATAAAAGTATTATTATTTATTTCCGTTCGTAACTATTGACTGTTCACATTTTCGTAAAACATAGAATTGATAAATCGATAAAAAGGTAAGTGATTTTAGTCTGATTTAAAACTTGCGAATTAGGTACTATGTGTATATGTAATGCACGTGTTTTGATCATTTAAATTAGTGTGTTGGGATGTATTGGAATCGTGCTCATGTTTATTATGCGCAATTCACTAGAAGCGGAAGAAAATACTCTACAATGTCTAAATCACCTAAGCCTGTAAATGAAACCGAAATGATTGTAGACAATTCTCAAGAACAAACAGTGATATCGGAAAATTTGACTAGAACGCCGCGAATAATGCCCATAGAAAAGACAGAATTCCGTAAAAACGCCTTAAATATTCAAATGTTGTCGGCCAATTTGTATGATCAGCTTTTCAATGAACCTCGTCATACAAACGAAGATGCATTAAAAATGGCTCTAAAAGAACTTTCAAAATATGATTTACCTTCCATATTGCATAAAGTACCTGATGTTGAACTGCAATTACCTCCAATGGAGGGAAACATAATCGATCACTTTTATAAGATTGGTAAAATACAAAGTGATCCATATGCCACATTGATGGATGCATTTTTAAAACACAAATTACCTACTATGCCTAATGAATGGGTATTTAGAGAAGGGTGGACAAGATATTGTGGGAATGAAATTGAGCCATGCGACTATCCCAAAGAAGAAGTAATCATTTTTGATGTTGAAGTGTGCTGTACGGAAGGTGATTTACCAACCTTAGCAACTGCTGTCACATCAGAAGCTTGGTATAGTTGGACGAGTAGAGATTTATTTAATTGTAATACTAGATCTGGTAGAAATCTGGGTTATTCATCCAAAGATCTTGTACCTTTAGAGGCATCAATTAATTCCAAAGAAAAATCAACTGAATGGACAAATACTCCTAAATTGTGTATTGGCCATCATGTTGCTTTCGATAGGGCCAGAATTATGGAACAATATTGGTTAAATCGTACAGCTCTTCGATTTATTGATACTATGTCTTTACATGTTGCCATAAGTGGTATTACTAGTTATCAAAAAACCTTATTAAAGTCTAAAGACACCATTGAAGATGAATCTTGGCAACAATACAGTTCGTTAAACAGTTTAAATGAAGTGTACAAATTATATTGTAAATCAGAGTTGTCAAAGAGTGATCGTGAAATATTTGTTAAAGGTTCATTAAAAGATATAAATGATAATTTTCAAAATTTAATGACCTATTGTGCAAATGATGTAAAAGCTACATCACAAGTTTTAAGAAAACTATGGCCGATGTTTTTAGAACGGTTTCCTCATCCTGTTACTTTGGCTGGTATTTTAGAATTAGGTACATCATATTTGCCAGTAAATTCAAATTGGAACAGATATTTGAACACTTCAAATGAAATATATGAAGATCTGGATATTGAATCTAAATTTTTACTTTCACAACAAGCAAATCAAGCTTGTCAATTAATGTATAACGATAATTATAAAAAAGATTTGTGGCTTTGGGACCAAAATTGGATTTCAAAGGAGTTAAAATTGAAAAAAGAAAAGAAAAAGAAACCAAAAATTACTGTTGAAAATCAATCTATAGAACCTGAAGATATATATGAAGAAAGATTCCTAGAATTAGAAAAAACATTTAAACCGCTAATGGAGACTATTGAACGGATGCCTCTTAAGACACCTCATCTAGCTGGTTATCCAGAGTGGTATAGAAAATTGTGTGCCCCTCCCAAAGATTTAAATTGGGTTCCTGGTCCAGTACTCATAAGCTCTGGTATGCATCTTGTCCCTAAATTACTTTCTCTTATGTGGAAATCTCTTCCTCTACATTACGTACGAGGACATGGCTGGGGCCAACTTGTACCTTATGATACAGACATAAAACTCTTAGATTCTGAATTTGTACCAATTGAAGAACTAAAAGATCACTATGTTAAAAGTAATGCATCTTGTAATTGTAAAATAGTAATAAATAATTCTGAACTACATGAAGATGTCCAGACGAATCTAGTTAAATATGAATGCACTTTTAAAAAAAAAAAATATAAAAATACCAAATTTGAGCCATGCAAAGACAATTTAGCTACAGGTTGTGGCATATTAAAACTTCCACATAAGGATGGGAATCATTTAAATGTTGGTAATCCCCTTGCACGAGATTTCTTGAATAAATTTTCTCAAAATGGTTTGTCTGGGAAAGATAGTAAAGCCGAACGCATCATTGAAATATCACGTATGTTGTCTTATTGGAGAAATAATAGAGAACGTGTTGAAGGTCAAATTGTTGTTTGGACCAATAAATCTGAAGGATTTGGTGCAATCATACCACAGGTTGTAGTATGTGGAACATTAACTCGTCGAGCTGTAGAAAGAACATGGATGACAGCTGCTAATGCTATTGATGAACGTGTTGGCTCTGAGTTGCGTAGTATGATCCAATCACCAGCTGGTTATTCTTTAGTTGGGGCAGATGTCGATTCCCAAGAATTATGGATAGCATCTGTCATCGGAGATTCGTATTTTGGCAAAGAACATGGAGCGACTGCTTTTGGCTGGATGACACTCAGTGGCAGGAAAAGTGATGGCACAGATATGCATAGTGCAACTGCAAAAGCAATTGGAATCACTAGAGATAACGCCAAAGTATTAAACTATGCTAGGATTTACGGGGCAGGAAAACCATTTTCTGAGCGTTTGTTGAAGCAATTCAATCCAGATTTAAGTCCTATACAAGCAAAGCAAAAAGCAATAGCTATGTTCAACATGACAAAAGGAAACAGAGTTTATAGGCTACATGATTCTGTATTGCCCGAAATCGAGAAAAGAGAGCATTCAAGACGTGGTGCACAAGAATTATGTGCTATTTATAATATGAGTGTTGAAGAATTATTTGAAAAACCTGCTTGGAAAGGAGGTTCTGAATCTGCTATGTTTAATAGTTTGGAACAAATAGCCTGTTCTAAACAACCAAAAACACCGTTTTTAGATTCTAGACTCAGTCGTGCTTTAGAAATGAATAGAGAGGATGTGGATAAATTCATACCGACCAGAATAAATTGGGTAGTGCAGAGTGGTGCTGTTGATTTTCTTCATTTAATGTTGGTGTGCATGCGTTGGTTAATACATCCAAATGTTCGTTTTTGTCTAAGCTTTCATGACGAGATACGGTATTTAGTACCCAATGAACACCGTTATCAGACTGCATTAGCTTTACATGTTACAAATTTATTAGTCAGATCGTTTTGCATTAAAAAATTAGGAATGACTGATTTACCACAATCTGTTGCATTCTTTAGTTCAGTTGAAGTAGATACTGCCCTGAGAAAAGATGCATTGAATGAATGTGTTACTCCATCTAACCCGCATGGATTGTCAAAAGGTTATGGAGTACCACTCGGAGAATCGCTGGACATAATAAAAGCTATAGAGATGTCTGGAGGAAACATTGGTATATTTAAAAAGAAAAAAAAAGAAAATCGATAAACCGTAAAATTGAACAAAAACTAAATGTTGAAATAAGATTTAAGTACAAAATGCTAAAAATTATTGTGTAAATAAAATGTGTGTGTTATTATTTTTTTTTTTTACAGAATGTCTAAAGCTACTAAGCGTAAACATGTACAGAAGGAAATGCTTGATACCGAATGGAACGGTCCAACAGACAAACAACGTATTGTTCGAATAGTTGCTGGGCGTGGTAACAATCTTCATGAAGTATTCTCGGTAGAAGACAACGAAACATTTCTTGTTTCTATGCCAGTCAAGTTCAGGCGTAATGTGTGGGTAAAACGTAATGACTATGTTGTTGTTGAACCAATAACTGAAGGAGATAGAGTTCGTGGTGAAATTGTACGTGTGTTAAATAAAGAAGACTTAAAACTAATGAAACAGAAAGGATGGGCTGGAAAGAAGGAAGAAAATGAGATTTTACCCAACACAAATCGGCCTGTTGTTACCACGATTAGCGATTTGAGTGGTACTGATACAGATACTGATCATGATGATCCATCTGAAGATACAGATTAATATTATTAAAAAGTTATAATTGCTTGAAGGGCTGGTCTGGTCTTAAAGGCCCATTGAAATGAAAAGGCGTTTTTAAAATATGAAAAACTACTTTTTTTTTATATATATATGTACATATTTATTGTGCCAAATGAAGACTGTTTTATAAATAAAATGTGATTTATACATTAAGCTGTAATGGAAATTAAATAAATTTAATTAATTATAAGTACAATATATTAATATAGCATTTAAAATTGTCATATATGTTAAATGGATATACGACAAAATAAATGTATTGTTTTATTCAACAAGAGTAAAAATACTTCAATAAAACGAGACTTATTTTCTCTTATTGTTAAAAATATTTAACTATTACAATTGTATTGTTATAAAATATATAACTAATCTACCACTATTCAAATAATTTAGTTCATTTATTACTAGTTATATATCCATTATACATCGTCATTACGGCATAGGCATAAATAGCCAAATTATTTAAGGGGGGTTAGTTGAGTTAGCCCCTCTTTTTTACACCCAATCATAGCATATCAGGTTATACCAGTTGGTAATAGTTGTTACTAAATTTTTTGGTGAAAAGTTTTGCGTCCATTTCAATTCCTAATACCTATTTGTAATATTAGTAATATATTTTTAATAAATACCTTAATATTAGGTATTAATTGAAGTTTTATAACATTACATTGAAACAATTATTACACACAAAAACTGTGATTTAGACTCAAATATACACAGAGCGATTATTTTATTGTTAAACACTCATTATTTAAAAAAGTATTATATTGTTTGACTTACAGAATATCATGATTGAAGATATATCATAAATAAACCACATAATTTTAGTTAGAACTTACCAATTTGACTAAACAGTTTATCTGTGTGAATAACCTTTCTGGTAATTTTTTTTTTTTGGTACAACGTAAATTATTTACATTTCGACAGATTGTATTTAACGTAATTGTTCATAAGAAATATCTTTTTTATCCAATTTTGATATTTTTTTTTTTTTGTTTCACCTTCCAAAGGGCACGACTCTTGATATATCTCAACAAATCCTTCTCCCCATGCCAGTGGCGGTTTTACCAAAGTGGCAAGGGAGGTAGTGTCTCCCTTCAAAACAAAAAAATACATTATTAATATTCCTTAAATTATAAAATATTGTTTGTTCATATTTTGTTTAATATTTTCAAATTAGACACTATTATTATAAAAGCAAAATAAATAAAATGTATGTTTAATTTTTGTATGAAAAGAGCTATGGAGTGTACCGTGCCCACTGCTAGAATCCAATTTAAAACAAGGCGTGCACAGTATGTGAATATAATATTGTTACATAGCGAACCCCTCCTAGTGTCCCGTAACGAAGGCGGCATCCTAGGAGGCGACCGCCGCCAGTATGTTATGGCTAATGACGCACAAGGCAGACAGGCTTCGGCAGCCAATGCAACGCAAGATTGCTTATTGCTCATCGCTCACTAGGCAGCCAACTGGCTGCGCCCAGCCAGAGGAAAACAACGTTTTTACATACGAATGTATTTGGCTGCCTGCAATCTCCGCTCACTAGTCGAAGCATCCGGTTGTCTTTTGCGTTTATAGTAGTTTTTCCTCCGATACGATCACCAACGTTTTTATCGAATTTATCGTATTTACGTATTTATCGAAGAAAATATCGTGATGATTTTCAATACGAAAATGCTTATTCGAGAAGTCGAAAAGCAATTTGGGACATAACTTCTGATGAATACAGCGATCGTGATTTAAAGAGAAGACGATGGGAGGAAATTACAAATATAATGCGTGTTGAAAGTNAAAAAAATGAATTCGGTAAGTATTATTTTATTTTAATAAATTATAATATAATATAAAATTTACGATACTATTAATATAATTTGTGAGGAGAATTTTAACTTTAAAAAAAATATGTAATTCATAATTAGTAATTACTATCCCAATGCTATCCTATCTTGCCATTCTAGCGGATTTGTATTTACAAAATAATTAGCAAATAAATTTGTTGCAACGATTTTGTCCACTGCTGAATGCCCCTGGTCCATAATTTTGTTGTGTCGAATATCCTTTGTGATATTGTTCACTTCTGAAAGTACCCGGTCCATAGTTTGGTGAATGTTCAGCCTGATATTGACTACTAATATTAATGCTCGATGCCTTTGGTCCATATCTATGGATATATGGCACATTATGATAATAACTTTGATTATTAATTTTCAGGGCCCTACCATGACCTTGAGTTGTTGTGGTAGTCTGGTCCTCCAGGTTGGGGGTTATGCGCAGGGCTAACAACCCTGCCATGTGAAATCACCCTTGTTCAGGATACAACAATAAACTTGCCTCGGATATGTGGAGCTTTGGAGAACAAGACTGGAAAACGGAGTAAGAGGATTTTTAACTACCGGTTGTCTCGGGAAAAGCGGTACATAGAATGCTCGTTTGGCATTATGGCAAACAAATGGAGAATTTTTCACCGTCCAATGGATGTTCGAAATGAATTGGCAATCATCATAATAAAAACATGCTGTGTGTTATATAATTACGTGCGACAAAAAGATTGATATAGATTTCAAGATACATTGGAAGTCCCTTCGAAACTAGGAACCCCCAGGTCCTCCAAGCAGAGCAAATAGATCATCAGCGTCTTGTAAAGATTTATTTGCTGATTATTTTATAAATACAAATCCGCTAGAATGGCAAGATAGGATAGCATTGGGATAGTAATTACTAATTATGAATTACATATTTTTTTTAAAGTTAAAATTCTCCTCACAAATTATATTAATAGTATCGTAAATTTTATATTATATTATAATTTATTAAAATAAAATAATACTTACCGAATTCATTTTTTTCTTTTTCTATTAAACTTTCAACACGCATTATATTTGTAATTTCCTCCCATCGTCTTCTCTTTAAATCACGATCGCTGTATTCATCAGAAGTTATGTCCCAAATTGCTTTTCGACTTCTCGAATAAGCATTTTCGTATTGAAAATCATCACGATATTTTCTTCGATAAATACGTAAATACGATAAATTCGATAAAAACGTTGGTGATCGTATCGGAGGAAAAACTACTATAAACACAAAAGACAACCGGATGCTTCGACTAGTGAGCGGAGATTGCAGGCAGCCAAATACATTCGTATGTAAAAACGTTATTTTCCTCTGACTGGGCGCAGTCAGTTGGCTGCCGTGTAGTCACGCACGTTTTTCTGGCCGCGGCTGCCAGTAAACTTGGCTGCCTAGTGAGCGATAAGCAATCATGTGTGGCGTTGGCTGCCTAGTGCGTCACTAGCCTAAATGTGTACACAAATTTACAAACCCAGGCGCACATACAAAATACAAATACGCGTATTCGCTCTTCTCGGTGGAGACGCCATCTAACCGTTGCTGCCGTCGACTAAAGTACCCTGTAAACGATCAAATTTTCGTTTAACAAACGTGTTTGTCAGATTTGTTGATAGTGTGCAAGCTTGGTTGACATGTTTGTCAAACAATGTAAATGTTTGACGTGTTTGCCAAATCTATTTGATAGTGTATGCGACGATGTTTGTCAAATGAAGTCTCAGTTATCGCCTTGACACCATGGAGAACACAATTGCGATGAATGACACCGAAAATATTTCTGAAAAAAAATTTCTTTCGCAGTTTATCTCCATATATCGCGACATGCCGATGTTATGGAGGATAAAAAACAAGAAAGTCAATGCAATTAAAAAATGACGGAATTGTTAAAAGTGTGTCGCCGAAACATCACTGAAGATGTTAAAAAATAAAATGAATATTCTACGAACAACTTTTAAGCGTGAAAAATGTATGTGAGGACTTAATAATGTTAATAAAACTTCAAATGTTTTATAATCCATGCACAGGAAATTTGCGTATTCATTTGGTTCTGTGCGCAATATTTCCCGTAACAAATTTTCGTGCGTATCCCGTAATTTCAACCACTCTTAAAACCATTGCCGACCTTTTTTTTTCTTTTTCATCGTACATAGTGCTAGCGTCAATACCAGAAACTTATTATCTATATTACTACTCATTGTTTAAATTGAAAAAAAAATTGTTAAATTAGATAAATATTGTATAACGACACTACGCGGCAAGGAAAAACCCGAAACTACGGGAGCTTTTGACAAATTTGTTTAATATTTGGTTCGACCGTATGCGCCATTGTTTGATGAAAACAATAAGTTTGTCAAACGCATTTGATCGTTTACGGGGGCCTTAACATCATAACGTATCTAACTGAACGGCTGACCGTTATCAGTTAATAAGTTCTTATGACGATCGTATATCTACATTCTACAACCGTGGATAATGATTATTGAATAATTTTGTTTTCTGTTTGATGACTGGTATAATAATAGTATTTTTTTTCATTTAGAGACTACTGTTCATTATTTTTTATTATTTTAATTCATACATTTATTTATTTGAATTTATTTTTATTTTGATAATTTTTCTTTCACGTACATGTGTGAATATTAAATTATGTGTAACTTAAACTAGAAAGACTTAATAGATTTATGTGTCTCAGTTCTGTTTAAATTATAGATGTGTATTGTAGGTATATTATATATTATATATCAGTAAATAGTAGTCCAAAATCGTAACTCACTGGTTACTATTAAGTAATAGTTATTCTCAGTAAGTAATTCTCTTAATTATATGAGAAATAGTAAAAGTGAAGCAGTTCTCTGACTAATTTTTTTAAAAAACAAAATATGGTTTTTGAATAAAACGAAAGAGTATTGAGAACTGAATTGAAAATAATGTATTTTAAATATTTTTAAAACATTTATTATATATTATTTAAAAAACCTAAAAGTGATCGTTAAGACATTTTAAAAACGTTTGCGAAGCATTTGTTTAATATTCCGAATACGTTTTTGAGAATATTGCAAAAATATATGTGTGTTACCTAGGTGTTTAAAATGGTTCAAAGTTGTTGTTATGATTTACAAGGGAACGATATACGTAATTTCAAAATATAAATAATTTTAAAATAAATGTAGTTGACGCTAATACCAATAGTGTTATGAATTTATAATATAGATACGTTATATTTTTATATTTCATTAAATACAAATTTATTATTTTATGTATTAAAATGTTTTATTTTAAAAATATAAATGATCCCTATTAATACAATTTTTGTCACTGTACTTTTTTAAGACATTTTCTATTTAAAGAGTGGGTGAAAATGTATTCCCCCCTCTCGTATGGTTAGGTTAGATACGCCATTCAATACTCATTTACATATCGTATATCGTATAGTTCAGAAAGCATTGCTGAAATTGTTGCGGTTTTTGTATTTCCCGGTTTAAAAAGTCAAAACTAGAATGCGCCGGTACCTACAACACCCCATGCCTTGTCGTTGGCAATCCATATTAATATCTTAGTTCGTGGCTTTAATCAAGAGTGGTGTAACAGGCGAATTTCTCCCTCTCGTTATTTTTACCTCGAGGGGTGGGGGAGTAAAATTCACCAGGGTCACAGGAACATTTACTTAGGTCTACGTTTGTTGATTTTGTCCATGCCACGGGATGGGCCCTACCTATAAAGCTAGCCATACACGATACGGTTTACCGGAGAGGCCAGACTGTGCAGTTTAATCTGCACAGTTTTAACCGATTTCCGACGACGCGACCTACACAGACGCTCCGGTTTGCTGGAGAGGCCAGACTGTGCAGTCGCCAGTCTCCGGTCACTCTCCGGTCCACAGTACTTGTGTATTCACATTCTATTCATATTTTCTTCGCAGTTTTTTAATTTTTAAAATTCAAATACAATGGCAGCACTGGACGACGACGCCATAGCTTTGGTAGGCTTAGCTCTTATTCTCATTATTTCATAATACCACAATTGAGGACAATAAACATCGTCAGCAGAAGCCCCGGACACGAAAAAAGATTCATATTTTTTCTTTTCTTTCCAGACGCTGCTTCTTAAATTGTTATTTTTTTTTACCACTAAATCTTTATTTGCTTCTAGTTCCGATTCCTTTAATTTTTGTATCAAAACTTTATAAGCTGCTTCCCGTAGTTGTCAATCATAGTACTTCTTTGACTTTGATCTGCCATAGACACGGATACGATTTCTACAAATCGATAAATTCCTCCAATATCATACGGCTCATTATAATATTGTGGTATAATATAATATATTAAAATATTAAAATAAAACCGATATAATATGTAAGTGTACGATTTTGCGATAGCAAACCAACTGGTCGAACGATAACGAACGACACGATCATACACGCTCCGGTATGCCTGTACAGACGTGACTGAACAGGTAAAAAGAATCGTTTTTCGATTCTTCTCCGGCCACCAGTACAGTCCCCTATATTTATAACTATAACGTTTACGTTTCTAAATTTATAAAAAGGGTTAATTTCTGGTTTAAAGCATAATAAGGAGAATTTAATATATTCTTTTCTTTTTTTTTATAAAATGTTTAGGTATGACATTTTGTTTTTAATAAGCGTTTTGAAATCAAATTTAAATGAAAATTGCAAAAACTATTTAAAATCGAACTGTGCTTGGAATCGTCATTTGTCCAATAATGATTTATTGTTACTTATAGATACAAATAAAATATGGATAATCAAGTGTTTTATAGGTAAGTATATACAGAATGTAATGTAACAGGATTATTTAACAAATGTGATAACTTTTTTCTATTGAATATGTTCAAGTTTTTTTTGTACTTATTAGTAGTTTTGCGCTATAATTTGTATTTATTATAGTCTAAGATAGTTATTTTATAAATTTGTTTTTAAAGTTTGGAAACATTTTCTCCTTCATCCAAACTATTTGGTTCGGTTACTCTTGTCCTAAATTTCCACTAGACCAGGTTATGTGTCTACATGTCTACATTATTCTTGTATACACCCATCATCAATAATAAATCATTAATCATATCCAATCGCCTCTTTATTGGTTTTCCTCTTATGTCTTACTAATATAACAAACGATAAATTATGTTTAGCAAATGATAAACATTTATGAGACACACAGCTTACATAAATACGATAAGAATATAATTAAAAATTATTAAATTTGTTAAATAGTCCTGTTATAATCTATATATAGAGTGGCCCATGATGATCTGATCTGCCACAAGAAATAAGTTTTGTTCTATTCAATAGTTTTAATACTTATATATATATTTTTATAAATAATCAATATGCCTGTGCACAAAGGTATAATATATTTAATATATTGAAAAAAAAATTTAGGTAGGGAACTTAAAATAATTTAAAATAAATAATTTTGTAAAGTGGATTTTTTTTTTTACAATTTTTTGAATTTTCTACATATTTTCTAATATTATGTTGGTTTATAATCTATTAATATATTTAATTAGTAGTCAGTAATATTACTGTGCGATATTAACTGATAGAAAAGAAAATCTTTGTCATATGATGTGCTCCGACTACTGATTAAATATTATAAACCACAACAATTTTCATACTTGCAAAAACTTCAATAAATTATAAAAAATAAGACCATACATAAACAAAAGTTTTAATCACTAAACATTTTCTAAAAATTTACAAAATAGCTATTTAAATATATATATATTTTTTTTATAATAATAATAGTAAAATTTTAAATGTTCTATTTTAAGTTACCTCATCTAAAAAAATTATATATTAGTTAAAGCACAGAAGCATACAAATTATTAAAAAAATATATATATATTTACTAAAAATATTGAATAGAACAAAATTATTTCAAGTGGTAAATTATCGTAAGACACTATATATTAAATGTAAAACCAGTAATTCATATTGTCAAATTCAGACAAAATTTAAATACTATTGTATTTTATTACTAGAGCTGAAAATGACAATGCATTCTTCTATAAATAAATAATATTAACAATTAACAAAATAAATATTATCACTTATGTAGGCACAACTCCTTAGAACTTCATATGTCAGTAGCTTAATATTATTATTAGCATAAATAACTAATAATAATAATAATGTTTCATACAAAACAACACAAAATAACATTTTATATTTATACAAAAAAAGTGAAAACCACTAATTTGTTATGTATATATTTATACGTTTACAATTTATTTATAAACAGTAATAATTTATAATAATTAACTGTTTTGTCTTCTACAAATAAAGGCCGGCATAAATTTAAAAGCGCAGTTTAATGTCATCCGATTAATAAAGAACATGAAAAGATTAGTTGTTTAATTAAAGTTTCAACGGACGTGTAAAGAAAGTATTATAAAGATTATATATAAACATACGTTTTCATTACTTTTAAGTACAAGTTTACGTTTAGGTAACATAAAATTCTGAAACAAAAATCAAACTATTATTGCTTGTAATACTGAATTGTAATATAGGTAAGTACTGTCTATTTAGATTTACTTTTAAATAAAATACTGTAATTAATACTCGTGTTAAATTAAGTTTATGTTGGAAGAATGATAGTAAATAAATACTAATCGGCATACCATTAGAGAGACTTGCGCTTACTATATAATATTTAGGCTTTAAACATAGTTCTTAAACAGGTGTATAATCGCCGCTGGGTTTGTAGAAGAACTGTCCCCGTATTATGCGTCTAAAAAGTTCTTTTCTCAGTAAAGTCTTTTCTTTAGCCAGCTTCTTTAGCACACCTTTGTTCTCCATAGCACGGCGAGATAGATATGGTAGCACCTCATTGACTGGACCATATGGTATGTACTTGTACGCAGAGTACCCTGCTTGGCCTATTTATTAATTTTAATGGTAAAACATTATTACATTTTATGAAATCAAATACATTATTTGATTTATGAAGCATACCCAAGGGGAACGTGATGAAATCACACATGCCAAGCAGCTGTCCGAAGCAGATTACTTTGTCTTCAGGAGAGATTCCAATTTCTTTCATTCTGATAAGCGAGGAAAACAAAAACGAAAATTTGTTATGAAACAAGTTTTAAATTATTATGTTGGTGGTGGTTTTCATAAATGATGAATACTGTTGTTTTGTTTTATTGTTTTGTGTAATTTCCATTTCTGCATTTAATTCCAGTAATCGCTATTCACTTGTATTGGATGGCGTTGGAAATGCTTTTTTAGACACTATTCTATGTGTCTCTGCAAAATTTATCAAATTAACAAACGTAGCCTATCCATTTCTAACCCCGTTTTGATTTTCACCTACCGTATTACATTAAAGGTATTGAAAGGTTGTTCACTTAGTGATAGATATTATGTTATAATAACACATATACATTTAATTAATTTATGTTAATTTTACTCACTGAGATAAAGCGAAGCGTACAGTATCTTCATTATGTGAGGCAACCATAATACCAATCTTACTACAAACATCACCCTTGTCCTTCAGTTCCTTGATGCGAGTTAAACACTCTGTCAACGTGTCATGATATATTTTAGTGGTGGCTTCATATGATGGATTGGTTGGATCAGGATAGCCCAATGCTGCAGCTCTTGCTCTCTCCTATAAGATATTTATTTCAATTACTACTGAATACAACGAGACACAATCATTTAAATATTGATAATAAATTGTTCCAAACAAATTCTAATTTAGAATACTTGTTTGCAGAATTAACCATATATTATTTTTTATTACAAAATAATTATTTAATATTACTAAATATTATTTAACAGTTAAATTACCTGGTCGATGTAGGCACCCCGAACAAGTTTGGCTCCAAAGTAAAATTTTTGGCGTTTAGCTTGATTTAAATCAGTCTTGACTTCGTTAAGTGTTTCTTTTAGGTAACATTGGTATGTATTAAACACAATAGCTTTTTCAGTGTTGTATTTTTGCATTAGTTCAAGAGTCAATCTAGATATAGCAGGTTGGAAATAAGTTTGTTCTGCATCAATCATTATACGTACATCTAAATCTTTAGCAGTCTATAAAATGTCAAAATAAATAAATATAATAAAGTTAACCTTCTAATATTTTATTATTGGTACTTAATAGATTAGTCAAAATTATAATTTTTACTTGAACTAATGTGTTGAGTCGATGAACCATATTACGGAACATTTCCTCTTCTTTCTTAGACAATTGAGATAATAATCTAACCATGCGACCTTCTTTTAAACAAGGCACACGGAACGTATCACTAAGTTCTGAATTTTCATCCAATAAACCACTCCATGGGAATAAATGAATAACACTGTATCAAATAACAGTATAATTTAAGTTAAGTTTATATTTTATTAATTACCTAATTAATTCATTTTACCCTTGACTGTCTTTGGTGACTTTTTCCAAAAATTTTTTTGTGTCTTTGATGCCAGCTTCAAACAATCGTTTTTCTAATTCTTCGAGAGTGAGATGTTGACCAATTACATTACCTTTTCCACCCATCATTTCACTAGCTAATGTACGAGCTCTCATAATTACTTCAGATAATTGCAACTGCAAATAATGAAATAAATTAATACTTTAAATAAACATTTTCACACATAATTACATATATTACTTGCTATTTGGTATTTTTTTTTTTTTTTTTTAATTTAACTGGAATTTCAATAGAATTTAACAAATCCAAAGTTATTTGTTATTTATCATTACACTAGTTAAAATTTATTTTGTTCAGATGCTAATATAACATATTCGAGATTATATTCCAAATAAATTTACTAATTACATTGATAAGTAATATAAGACAATTCTTAGCTATATTTTCTATGAAATATATGTATTTTTTAAATTATAAGATGAAACATTTTGAATATATTTTCAAAAGACGTGTAGCTCCATTGATTTTCTCAAAATTTAAAATATTAAATTAAACTACTAAATATATTATTAACTGATAATTAATATACATACTAATTTTTTTTTATTATTATTTATATTATTTATAAGCTATGTATAATTTACCAAAAGTTGTGGACGTCCAAGAGCAGTTAATTTAATAGCTGTAATTCCTGTTCCATATGTAGCACCTAAGCAATAAATTAAATTTAAAATAACATAATTTGTTAAAAAAAAAAACCAGTTATAATAATTATAAATACAGGGATTATTTATTTATCATCAATTAACAGACATTACATTTTATACACAGTAGGCAAGATAATGCAGATGTATTAATATTGTGTAGGTATAATAAAGTATATTAGCTAACTAAAATCAAATAACCCTTTTGTGTATGAGAAACATAATGTAAAATAAATAATATATATTGCTATAAAGTTTAAAATAAAATAATAAAATGTATATATTGTATTAAAATAAATAATGCAATGTCTCAGACAATTTAAAACTCATATTTAATAGCTATAATTTAGATTGGTAAAATGAGAAAAACACATTAAATATTTTTTAAATTACTCCTTTATCCAAAAAGAAAGATTGAAAACTACTAATGACAATTAGCCTAACTTTGGTAACAAAACAAACATTTTGATTACATAGTATTGCCATCAATTTCTTATCTCGGATAAAATATGTGTGTGTAAACTAAGATAAAAAAAATTAAGTAATTATATTTAATTGAAATGTAAAAAGATTAAATGTAATTTGTATTAAACAAGTATCTTTTATTGACTTTCCATATTAACATGACTGTTCTCGTCCAGAAAATAGTGCTAAAAATTAGATGGTCAGATCAGGAATCAAACCAGTCTTTCAATTATTGGACGATTGCTCTACCACTGAGCTATCCTGAGCTAATCAGGTGACTTCTAATTCTATATTCGCTGGACCTGAAAAGTGCCGGGTTTGGGCAGGTCAGTGAAACAGCTGTGTGTACAGTTGAGGAAATAATCATTTTTAACTGAACTACACCAAAAGAACCAAATTTTACAATAACAAACTGTTATTGCATACAATTTCCCCAATTATTAAAAAAAACACTAAAATTTACTTTCTCAAATCCACCAATTAAAAAAAATACACAACCAGAAACCACTCCTAATGTTAAAGATGGGGTCAAAATTATCATAAAAAAAATCATAAGAATCCTTATACTACACTCCTTTCTCCTTCTCATTCACCATTGTTAATTTGTCTTTACTATATATAGTGTGTAACTTCGTTTAATTTGCCAAGAGACATGAATTTTTGAATAAATAAATAATATTTTACAATCATCAATAACAATGTAATAAGTTTAATTTAATCTATCTTTACCAATTAACCTACCTATTAAAACATAACCTATAGTAAATTTCCAATAGCTATTTATACCCGCAACCATAAATACTAATGCATTTTTACATCTTGTATTTCATCATATTATTTACAACATCATGTTGAGTTAACTCTCCATTTCTATATGCTAGCAAATACTCAATTCATCAATTACAACAAGATTGCAGTAAGTTGGCTGTTTGTAAATAATATTTGCAATGAAGTCTAATAATTATTTAGTGAAACTGGGTTGTCCATTTATAGCTATTCTTTTAAAGGTACATGAATGAAGTAATACATTTTTACATTTTTATCAAACATAATCATAAGTACCACAATACTTCTATTAAAACCATTTTACTATTCCTGAAGGTATGTATGTGAAATCTAGCTGCAAATCTTGGATTATTACTATAGAAGAGAAAAATAACTAGAGGCCTTTAAAATGTGGTGTATATAAGATAAAATGGATCAAAAGAATAACAAAGAGGTATTTAATAGAATAAAGAAAAATCAATAACTTTGGCATACCTAGTATTAAAGACAAAAGATACAAAATTATAGGGCTTCTACTATATTAATATAGCTTGAAAAAAATGCATTTGAAAGTTACATCGAAAGAAGATCAAGAACGAAAAATATGAAACAATTGAATAACACCTATAAGGTGATACCCACGAAGATATACCCATTGTAACACCTCTGGAGATAATAAATATAACGGTGTGGTACGAATGTATTGGTTTTACAATAGTTATTATTTTATTTTTTTAAACAACTTTTCTACCAGCAATTTTGCTCTTATTTTCAATGATACTACTTTTTCTAAAAGGAAAATTAACTGGCGAGGTACTTATGGAGTTATTTTTTGATTCTCCCAATAAATGAGAAAAACAGGGGAAAACATGGAAAAACCTGAAAAATAGGTACAATATTAAACAAATATTATTAAAGCAAATGTTTAATATGTAATTGTATATGTTATTATTTTACCATAATATGACATTATATATTGTTGACAAAGCAACACTATGATCCAAACTTAGCTCAGAATTGTTTTTCGTTAGCAATGGTTAATTGTTGTGTATAGATATACATTCAATTACCCCTCTACTACCTTCCCAACTTCTGACCTATAACAGTGGCTGCACCGGTCGGTCCCCATTATCCTAGAACAGGATATTATCTTATTCACTGAGAAAAGGACTATAAATATTAAAAATGCAATTAATTTTTTATGGATTGGTAAAAAATAAAAATCTTTATTTTATTATTTTTGAAAAATTTGAAGATAGTAATTTTATAGTTTTTCTGAAAATGTTGATGCATTAACATTTATTTTCATTAAATTCATGATTTTTAATAATTTTTTAAAGTTCAGAGAAAATAAGTATTGGTACAGTCAATTAATCGTAATAATAATAATAATCAAATAAAGAATATGATTTTTGCCCGCTGCATAATCATAGGTACTTTCTCTGAACTTTAAAAAATAACATTTTAATACATTAAAAATTTCAGAAAAATAAACATTATAAAATTGCTATCTTCAAATTTTCCAAAAATAATAAAATAAAAAGTTTTTTTTATCAAAGCATAAAAAATGAATTACAATATAAATATTTGTAGTCCTTATCCCCGAGTAATAATAATAATAATAAAAAAATAAAAATAGAATTTGATTATCTCTGAAAATATTACAATATGTATATCTTTATGGGACACCTGTATTTATAATATACACTTGAATAAAGATAGTTACAATGAATTAAGAGAATTTAGTAACAAAATGAAAGCATAGTGAATTACAAAAAATCAATGAAATAAATAATTGAAGATAAGAAGAGATCTCATTTTAAATGTGTAAAATAGTATTAGTAATGTAGATAGTTTATTTGTTTTACTATAGATATTTATGTAATTACAAACTTTAAATTTTGGTTTATATCCAAAAAAATTTAAATTACAATTAATGTAGACATTTATTTTCAAACTTATACACAAATAATGGTTCAGTGTGATAATAAAACAATACTATCATATTTTAATTGATATTATAGTGAAGAAACTTTGTATTAAATGTATTTAATTTAATTTATATGTACAGTGTTGTATTATTATTTGATAATACATAAATTTAAAACTATAACTATATATTTAATTATATTCAAATTTAAGATACAATTCAATAGTTGTTTTAAAATTACTTAAATTAGTTTTTTTTATCTTTTTAAATTAATTGGTGCAATAGGAAACATTGCTAAATAAACTTCTCTCTATTTGAAATATATAAATTGGCCAACCAATTCTAAGTATAATTTACTTATTGTTAATATTACTTCACATAATTTTATCACTCTAAAATAAAACACAATCAATTTTTCAAATATAAATAATGGTACCAAATAGTTTAGGCATGTACTTATATTATATTCATAAACTATATATATTTATAAACTTGATAATTTTTTATTCATTGAATTTGTATCAAATAAATTAAAGTTTATTTGATGAAATGAAAACTGTCTACTTTATAAATATTTTTTTTTTTCTATAAATCTTACCAGCTACTGCATGTAGACAATTTTGGAATACTTCCATATTACGTTCACAAGTAGCTTCATTGAGGTAGAAGTAGGTTCGAGCACTTTGTACCTTGTACCGTCTGTCTGCAAACTGTTTATCCACATGGTACTGTGGTAAAGAACCTCCAACTGTTTCCGCTGTAACAGAAGCTATCCAATAGGAACCACCCAATCCCAAGTATGCATGCGTTAGTTAAATCAAACACAAAAAGTTATAAGGGTTTCAAAAATTAATATATAACCAGCAAAATAGATGGTAAAATAATATGGTAAATATCAAGATCATTAAAAACCTAAAATTGATTACAACCAAAGGCATTTTTATTTTTGTTTACTTTATCTTTATAACAGTGATTTGTGTAAAATATAATACAAATGTAATTTACTATATTTACTGGAGAAATTTTAATTCCATTATAAAAATAATAAATATATCATTATAATAAGTAATAAAATATTTTCTGTTACTTTATATATAACTGTATATATATATATATTTATGAGTTTCATTTTATTTTCATTAATAATAATAATAATGTTTCATAGATGTTATTTTAAATTAAATTATCAATTTTAAGTCATATTTTAATACTATTATATTTCAGACCAATTTTTGTTAAAACAAAGTAAATGGATTTGCAATAAAATATAGGAATTGGAATATTAAAATATTATAATGAATAGTAATTTTTGGGTATTGAGTATATCGTAAAAATTGTATAATAATGTACTTATACTTTAGTTATACCAATTATTAATACCTAAATCTCATCATACATCAAACAATGTTAAACATACATTAGAAATGCATACTCATTTAAAATATTATTCAGATACTCATAAAACTTGTTTGGTTTCTAGAAAGTTTAAAAAAGATAGTTTAAATATTTGACAGGAATTATATGTTATCTAAACAAAGATAACAATAACGATAACTTATAGTTTATACCAGTGATAAATATTATACAATTAGTTTTTAATTTTTTAATATTTAATACATAAATATGTTATGCCTATTAAAAATATAAGGTTTCCAAATTTTCTAAATTTATTGTGCATAAATTATCATCTAATAAACTAGTAAACTAAATTATAATTTAAATCAAAGAATATTATGAAATTTTGCAAGATATTATAAAACATAAAGATTGAGCTAGTAAAATGAAATAAACATAAATATAATATAAAAAGATATACCAAAAATAAAAAAATAGTGCATTTAAACTAAACATAAATCTAGCAGTTAAATAAACATTTATCAAAAAACTTTGAATTATATTTGTTATTCTAATAAATGTATATAGTTTACCTTCTTTTTGGGCAGCTTTTTGATCTCTTTTTTCTACTTCTGACATGCTTGATCTAAAAATAAGTAATATTACATTTCATGTTATTTCATTGATATTAACGTATAATAAATTTAAAATAAATTTTAGGCAAAGAATGGTTGCATTTCTTTACACTTGTATAATTTTAGCTTTCATTTGTTCAAATATAATAATGTACTATTTAAAAGATTTAAAACAATTTATCCAATTTATTTATTTACAAATGTCTAATGTGCATAAAAAAAAAAGTGTATATCAAATCTTGATAATATTATATGCTAAATTTATTTAATGAGTTCATTCAGTACTTCTCTTTATCTTAATTTTTGCCTTGTATTTACTATTTACCAATGGATCTGTTTTTCGAAAAAGTCTACTGGTTATTCTTTTTATATCCCCAATCTTCATATTAAATTTTCCAATAATGTTCCTCTACCTACATTGTCTTTTACAACTGAATGCCTTGCTATATATGAAGCTCTTCTAACCACCGAATCATTAGGTATTCGTAAATTTTGTCATTTGTTTTGACTTTGAATTATGTCTCCCGGCATTAAATTCTTCCGCTTTCATTTTCTATCTAGTACTTAAAATCCATTTAATCCTCTTCTCCCTTTCCAGCTTGCTACATCATGTTCCTATTCTATTCTTCCTACAATTAAAATCCTTTAGTTCAACTTTTCCCCAGCTCTTGAGGCTCATGCTTTTAGGTCATGGAATCAAGTTTAGTTATCCGGAGGTATCAAGGAACACAAATTTAGAAAAAAAAATATTCAGGAAAGTACAAGAGATAGATAATTGTGAATGATATATAAAGATATATGATTCAGTTTTATGAGTAGGTAATGATGAAAAACATTGTGTGAGTTGTAGTAATGTAAACGATTTATTGGTAGTTTTCGAGTATCATATAGGATTTACATGCTCAATTAAAGTAAAGGGGGTAACTAAAATTGTTAATTACGATCAGAACACTAATATATTTGTTTTAGTTTCATAAACTGAAATGAAAAAAATTACATAAATGATCATAAAATGTGAAATCAACAATTTGTTATTTATAGATATGATTTAGTTGACTAATAGGTTTCTATTAATGAAGATAAGTGGAAAAGCAAAGATTAACTAAAAATTTGATAGTACCTATTGCTTTTAATAATTTTATTTTTTTTTTATTAATAGTCTAATTAATTAATGCAAATTGTGAATTATGCTTTGATGAGACTAAAGCAGACAATCTTTATTAGTTTGGCAGGAAGTGTAGTAATTATTATTAAAACATTTTATGTAATATAAAATCATAAAATACAATGACTAATCACGTTTTCATTCACCCACTTTCAAAGGTATTTGAAATTAATAATAATACACAGTGTAAACAATAAAGATGGGTGGGAACATGTCAGCATTACTTCCCCTGGCCTGATATTAAATTCTTACAGGATTTCTCGGTCACTGTGCTGAGGCCAATCAACCTAGTCCAGCTCAACCATCACTGTTGCCTAGCAGCCAAATCCTCAGCTTGCCTCGTCTTCTCACAATCTTCCTACCTGTCCATGATCACCTCACTCACTCCTTTCCTTCTCCCACCAAGAGCACACAAACACAATGCCTGAACATAAGCAGTTATCACTACCTGTCAGTTTTAAATCTAAGTCTATTAAAATATACATAATTATTAATCCCCTTATTTGAGTTTTGAATTATTAGTTTTAAAATTTTAAACAATAATCCTACAGATGATGCTAAATCTTATATGGTTATAAATTTTAAATTCAAAGATTGGTTTACAACAAACGTATATACAATAGATTTATTTCTCTACATTTTCCTATTATTTGTCATAGCCTTAAACTCTTCATAAGATGTGATCCTTGCATCTATTGTTAATTGACTAATAAACCTCATTCTTGGTCTTCCTCTTGATTGCAATCGCTTTTTCATTCTTCCAATTAATAAAGCTGTGGAATTTTTTACCACATCTCAGTGTGTGTCCTATCTTAATATCTTTTAACACTACATTTCTAGAGCCTCCAGTATCTCTAATATATCTGTTCTTTGTTTAGTATCCATGTCTCACAATAATATAAAGTCACACTCTATAAATACATTAGTAACAACACGGTTATACATAACACACAACAAAATAAATACCTATGCATAACGTTAATTTTTTTCTTTAATTATAGGTATGAATTATATGAACCTACCCTTTCTGAAAGTACATACAAATTTATATGCTAAAAAGAAAGGTCACCTACTTCAATATGTTACCTAACTAGTTTATTATTTATAATTATAAGGCTTACAAAATATCTAAAAGTAAGATTAATATAAGTTATCTTTATATAAAATATCTTAATTTTTACCCTGTTTAAACAATTATTGAAATGTTACAAAAATGACTTTTTACAATATAATTTTGATGTTTTCCAAAAAACAAAATATACCAAAAACAAATTAGGATAAAAATGATTCAAATAATAGTTTTAAGCTTTTTAAATTGATACATTTACTTTACTATTATTAAAGAGTTATCAGTTCATTACTTTTAGTTGGTCCTTGAATAACAAATCAATTTATCATACTTAATAATATTAAAACAATTTTTTACCTTATGCAGTTTAAACATCATAGTGGTTCTATAAAACTAGTTTCATATGGTTTTTTTTTCCTTTTATAAAAATCTATGATAAATCTATTCCCGTTTGAAAAATTAAACCAAATACTTTAAACTATTATATTTATTAGCATGGTACTTATATGAATAAACATAATATTATACTATCAACAAGTACATCAGCAAACAATTTTTTTCTTTTGAAATGAAGTACTCTATAAAAATAATGCTATAGTAAGTTATATTAAGCCACTCACTCGACTTCACGTTTTTCTGCCTCTTCTTGACTAATATCTTCTTCAACAGAGTAATCCAATATTGGCTTAACACCAAAAGATCTCAAGCGTTTTAATGTAGGAACAATACGATACTGATCTTCTCCAGCAACAAAATGACCATAAAATGTCATTTTCATTATAAGGGTAAATAATTTTTCACCAAAAATGGCTTTGCAAATTTTCATAATCTAAAAAAAAAATCAATAAAACACAAAGTTCAAAACTATATAATACGTACACATACATAGTAAAATCAAATTAATGGTATAATACATAACTTATATTTTGGTTATCTATACTTGGTATGAATCAATACTGTTTATCATATTTCATATATAATATACAATATATATTAATAGTAATTCTAATGTACTGATTTCACTCGAAGGACCTCTCTCTTACTAAGAACAAATTTATTAAATAGAGCTATCTTTTCAACGAAAAATAAATTTACAACACATTTTTTTTTATTATTGTCATTAAAAAAAAAAATAATCATGTAATTGTATTAATATAAATAAAATAATTTAAATTGTATATTATATACATAAAATCATAAAACTATATAACATTACTATCATAGCATTCACTATTTTATAGTTAAAGATAATATTTTATAAGAAAATTAATCTTAATAAAAAAATTAATTTAACTTGGTTTAAAATTTAAAATATTAATTGAATAACAATAATAATCAGAATAAATAATTTGAATGCAAAAGGTAGGTAAATTGTAATAATTGTATTATTTATTATATTTATATTTTAATTCAATTCAAATGTTGAGTTATAATTAGGTATAATAAATTGAAAAATGATAAATTGATAAACTATAAATAATCTAGTAAAATTCCGATAAAACAATTAGGTATATAATTACAGGAGATATGGTAATGTAGTTTAAAATTTGGCATTTTTATGCATCATTTAAAAATGGGAATATTAGGTAGCAAGTTTAACATGCAATATTGTGAATAATGTTGCTATATTGTACATAATGAAATAGATAATAGTATATAAGTATTTAATATAATTTTTTTATAATATACCTAAATATTATCAATATTTTTTTAATTTGGTTACTATACGAGAATAAAAAAAAATATTTAATTAATATATGTTTGATAATTGACCAATTGATCTATAAATTGTTTTAATTTTTTGTACTATTCTTTAGATAACCTTTAACACAAATTAAATCAAGGAATATATATTAAATTTAAGAAAATATGTACATATCTAAATACATATATATATATATATATATATTATATTATAAATGTTTAGAAGTAGAAAAACTTGCATGCAAAAAATAAAATTAATTAAGTAACTATTTTATAACTAAACACCTAAATATTATTTAAAATAGAAAATATTGGTTTCACTAAAATGTTAAAATTAGAATACCCATATAAGCGCCCTTGATAATTATTTATTAAATTTTAAATTACCTACCAACATCTAAATATGATTATTATTAGGTAATGGGTAGTAATCACACAAATTAACATAGTACAAATTATTGTATCTAATAAACTTTAAATAAGTAACTAATTTTGATTATTCAATAAAATATTTATTAAATGCAAGTTAATTTAATAATGTTATATTAAAAGTCTGTGTAGCACAACTGAGAATTTTTACCTATTATGTATAAATACCTAAATTTGCACTATGGTGGGCATACAACATGGCTAAAAATATACTACTAAAAATGTGTATTAAGATATAAGAGGTAAAATATACCTCTTGTTATTAAGTAGTACCTATATAAACCATACAGCATAATCCATATATTATATAAATCATTAATTGTATTCATAAATTTATTATTATTATAAGATTAATATAGGTAAGATTTTACAGAGCCCAACACAAGCTTGCGCAGTGGGCCTGAATCTTATCTCATCTTATAAAAGAACAAAAAATAAAAATAAGAAACTCATATACATATGACTTGAGTTATAAATTCAATAAAACAGGCTAAAATGTTTTTATTGATTAGTCTTTACAAAGATAATAACAGTAAATAAAGATATAGTAGGTATGTTTCTAGTTGACAGAAAACTTATTCTAACCTATTGTTTAACATTTTTAAAATACCTTATGTATTTGTTGATATTAATTATGGGGATCAGTCTTACCATTTATTTGAGAAGTTATAAGTAGTAATTTTAAGATTATGTATTGTAATCCTATACCTATGCTTAGTGGTTTAGTGAAGCAGGGGTAAAGTATATACTCACTTTTTTAAATACGAGTAAGTGCTATGTTTGAAGTATTCTCAATTGTATACAAACAAAAAATTTAGTACTCTAACATAAAAATTATACATGTATCTATCTTTCATTCATATACTGTCTAAAACTACTACCTACTTAATCAGTATCATTTTGTTGAAATTATGTATATAACATATATATTATATACTTTTTTTCCTTTGACCGAGGTACCTAAAATGGTTTTTCATGAAAAATAATAACAAAGGCCAATTATTTTTGATTAGCAGAGTGATTGGTAAGCATAGCAAATCAACTAGACAGTTAAAGATTAGAGTATATCTGAAAATCAAAAAATGTCCAATTGCTAAAGTTTGTGTTATAGGAAAATAACTTAAAAGTCAAAAACTAAAGCTTTCAGCCAATATTTTTCTGGCACTACCTATTGGTTTAAAAAGTAAAAAATACCTACCTATTTCATTAAAAAACACATATATATTTATATATAAAATCTCTGTACTCTACAAATTTAAGTGCCTAAGATACCTCATAGTATCTATTATTGATTTTATAATAAAAATACTTATGATACAATTAATGATAACGATATTATCTGTTATATTATCTACAGAAGTATTATATTATAAAGGATATAACTAAACAACCCTAAAGTAATTATAGATACTATAGCTAAATAGAAATATGTTCAAAACAATACCTGCATATTATTCTCGACGAGATAACCAGACGAACAAAGCTGATAAACTATGTAAGCTCTAAATATCTCCCAAGTGGTCTTGCTTTTGAAAGTAGCCTCGGGGTTAGCGAATGACGTGTCCAGCGGATCCCATTTTGGCTTCTTGTCGATAGTTGTACTGGTAGCAGCCGTTGAAGCCGTCGCGGCCACGCTGTTATTCCTACGCTGAAGCCGTTGACGTTCATTTGAGTTCTGTCCGTTTGACGTGGTCAGGGACCTCACGAGCCGAGCATATACGTCGTTCCTGAGCGAATCTTGCAACAATAGTTTACTACACTTACGGGATGTGGATAGTTTCAAAAAAGCCATTTAACGTACACTTGATGGGGTTGTACCGGTCGACTGTATTTTCAATATTTAACACGTCGTCGTTAGTATTAGGTATATAGACAAAACCGTACGGCGTGCGCGAATATATGCGTGTTCGTGGTGTCCCGTCGAGGGTCGACTGGCCCGTTCGTCTCTTTTGAGCGTCTCAAGAGCCTTGATGTTGTCACACACACACAGTCGCACAGACGAGCAGGCAATAAATGACGGACACGGAGCAAACGCCTCGTGTAAATCACACAGACACACACACAAGCGCACGTACGCACACACACACACACACACACACACACACGTCACACGCGTACGGGGGTCGAGGACGCACGCGCAAAACCTACACACACAAACATAAGAGCGCGGGCGATCACAATATAAGCATAAGTATAGACATCGACGGTCACACGCGCGCTAAATAGTATGCCGAAGTGCCGATAACGCTGTTTTCTGGACGTGCGTTCAGGGTGGGGAAAAACGATGAATATAGAATTAGAAAAGGTTAACTGTCCGCGTTAAGTCACTTAAATCGTTCGTAATCACAAGGAGCGCACCGGGCCCGGAGAATTCGACAATCTGTCGTATACTTGTCTATGGTCGGGGCCGGAACAATTAATGATTGCAGGCGAGATTTTAAATTAATTCGGATAGTAGGGCAAAATTTATCGTTCGTTCTATAAGTACCTACGCACGGCCTCTACGTAGTGCTGCACGAAAAACAGGGAGTCCTATTCTGCAGTTTGTTGTGTTCATAGACGTCTAGACATACAATAGTTAGTTGTCTATGGTTGTAATATAATACGCATTGCGCAGTGGTAGCGTCGAGCATAGAAAAATAAGATTTTTCCACACAAATAACGCGCACTCGCAAAACACAGTTGAAACGCAATATTGTAAATGTATAATATTTTTATTATATTGCCACGGCAATTTATTTTAGCGAATGGGCGGAAAACAAGCAAAGCGCAAGTCCAAGAGCGACGCCGGCACGTCGCTCCCGTGGTTCCGGCCGCGACAGTCGCAAAAATAATTTTCGTCCCGTCAGTGCCGCCGATTTATTACGGGCGTGCCGTAATAATGTGGGCCCCGGTTACACTGCTTTCCGATTCCGAATAATAAATAATAATATACAGCTGTAGCTTTGGCATGCAAATATTTTTCTCGAAAATGTATACTTTTCTGTAGGTATAACCTACTAATACATTATAATATTATAATACGAAATTTAAAAAAAAACAATTATAAGTAGTCAATAATATTAACAACGAATATTAGTGTACAGAGAGAAAAAAATTATACGGAGAACACCATAACCGGAAAAATTACCATACGGCATACCTACATTGGCCACATTGGTAGTACATCGTATGGCTAGCGAAAATGAGGATAGCAATATAGACTGTGCGATAGGTACCAACCATTTTATGTCCACAATCCCATATAAGTAATATACGGTGACTATAAGCCACAATGGTGGCCCGCGTTATTTTTATAACTTATATAAAATCATTTCAAAATCGCATTGGTATAACTTAGACATTTTTGGGGACCGTCACTACGCGTGGTTTAATATAACGTTTTATGTACTTGCAGATATTATAATGATAAATAAATATTTTTTCCGGTGTTTCGTTGTGCTTGTGTGGAATTTCACAAAAAATATGGCTAATACTACACCAGCGTACCGAAATCCTCTCGGAATCGTTTTTTGAAGGCATTTTCTACCACACTAATAGTCTACATCCTAAATATATACCTTTTAAATTTACCACCTATAATAGTGGCCTATTCATGGTACAAACTACTTATATAATATCAATATGTGTGAAACTTTAGAAACTTAAAATGTTTATAAAAAAACTGTTCCATTACGCTTAACTTGTTTCGTTTGTGACTAAGTATAACTTATAATGAACCTCGTATTAAATTGTTAAACAATACAATTTTGTTCGGGCAAAAAATTTATCCACATGAAACCAAATAGAACTTGAAAATAAACTATTTTCGCCTAACTATTAAGACTATACGGAAAATCAAAAAAATGACATTTAATGCACCAATTAGATCTACATTTTTTATGAAAAGCTTTGTTGTCATTTTTTGATTGGACAAAAATTTCTGTTAGAAAAGTTCCTCACGATTTCACAGACACAAAATTTATATATATATACATTATAGTAAAACCAATATATTCCTCACAAAGTTCAGAATTTAAAAAAAAAAGTCTTTATAATATTATTATTTATAATCTATATTGACAGGTAATTTGATATCTTTTATGTACGTTTTTTTTTTTTTATAATTATTTTAATAATCTCCGCGTATATTACATGTATGTATAGAAAAAAAAATACGGTGGCATAATAAATTATAATTATATAATCTATCTTGGTATGCCGTTTACTTGTTAACGCCTTAACGGCATTTGAAGGCTATAATAGTATTTGCAAATAATAAATATTATTTGCATTGATAAACCATTTTAAAATGAAACGAGTAAAATTAACCTCATGCAGATTTGAACATACTGAAGGTAGATGTAGAAAAAATATTTAATACCACATAATCAATATTATTAACATGCTATATAATATGAATTTAAAAAAAAAAAATATGTACAATTCAAATTCTAACGGAAAATACAAAATTGATGTCCCAGTTTCTTTAGATTTAAAAAATAAGGGTTATGGTACTCTTATTTTTTACCTTACCTAATTTATAGAGGTGCCAAAATCTCCTAATCCAGCACAATGGATATCTACCTGAGTCGGGACTATTTAATTATTATCCAATGAGCAATAGATATAATATAGGTGAACGTCATTAAAAAATAAAATTAATGATAAGTAAGTATAAATTAATTAATAATTATAATAATAGGCTGCATAGACGCAATTAAAGACAAAATTTGGCCGTGAGTTAAAACCCTTCCATAAATATTTTGATCAGTGCCCCTCAAAAGCTTTCCTTCCAATCTTCCCCCACTGTTTAAAAATTAGCTTATAGGAGGAGGGAGGACTGGTAAAAAAAAATATTTTCCTAATTTTAGATTTCTAAAATAATATATTGTTATTTCGGCAATGAACCTGAAATTCCTGTGAAATGCCGAAGCCGAAGAAGAAGAAGAAAAAGAAAATAATATGTTTCTTAGAAAAATTGTTTCTGGTTATTTACATACCTGTAAAATATCATTCTTGAATTTAACAGTTTATGATTTTGATTTTCCTCACTCTGATAGCCATCCTTTTAGGTATACGGAATTTGAACATTTTATGTTTTTTAATAATTCAAATATTCAGGAATAACCGGTTTTGTTTTAAGTTTTGGCCGGGTAGCTACGGATTAAAATCACTGGTTTTATTCTTTGTTCCATTTGTTTTTCAGGTTATTGACTAATCAAACATACTCGTATGTCATAGATATTTTCAAAAATGTAAATTCATGAATTTAAGATTCTGAGTGTAACGAGAAATATAACAAAATAAATATATGGTACTCATATCTACTTTTACTTCAATATTGTCCTTTTTAGATTCTAAGTGAAGCGAAGCTTATGGTTTTATAAAGATATCATCTAAGTGTAGCAGTTTTTCTGAAAGAAAATCGGTGTGGTAAGGTACTTTTAGGAGGTTATTTTTCAATTGAAGAGTTTTCTCATCAAATTCTCATTTTGTTCTGCTTATTAGTTATGAAATACACGGATACAATTTCTTATGGAAAAATAAAAATATTTAAAATCCAACATAATTATTTCAATTTCAGATTTTGTTAAAACTCATAAACATGACATTGAACACGTTTAGTCATATAAAAATGCTTTACAATTTAAATAATTTGGTACATTTGATTCATTATAATTTATAAGTAAATTATAAATTACTTATTATAATTCAATTAAATAATTGTATGCATTCTACCATTCTAACTTCCCACTAACAATAGTAGTGCACCAGTTCCCAGTATCAGCTCTTTTCTGTTGTAATTTAATTAAAAATAATCATTGAGACTTAATATTTTCAAAAAATACTTATTTTTATAGAATTAGTAGTTTTTAGACGTGGTACTTTTCAAAACAATATAGCGATTTTTGAATTATTTATAGACATTATAGATTTTAATCGTAAAAATCATTACATTTTTAAAACATATTTTATCGAACTTCGCTGAGATTAGTATTCTGATAGCGATGATTTATCATTGAGTATAGATATAAATTATATCACTCGACAATATAGAGTAAACCTACCTTTTTAGATTCAGAGCGTAGCTAGGGATCTATTAGTTTTTCTATGATGCGTGCTATTTTTTTTTTCTGCCTGTGAACAACTTATCGAAAATAAATTGTACTCTAATGTACATAGTAACCGAGTAAAGTATCTTTTCTGATAGAAAATTTTGTCTAGTTTGTGCATTATTTACAGCACGCAACGAATTAATGATTTCATTACTTTAAATGTTATCAACTTATGTTTTCTGCAAGTAATATTGCCCCTGTAGAAAAATAACAAGAGACATTTTTTGTTGAATTTTTAATCTAGTTGGTGGCCAAATAGGTCGTTTTTTGATTTTCTTTGTAGTTTTTTTTTTTAATAATTAAGCAAAACCGTAAAATATATAGAAGAAATGCTCAAATTTACGAAAATATTTATTTTATTATTTTTAATTTAATTCAGTTAAAAATATTCGTAGTCTTGAAAATTGAGAGTTATGCATTATTATTATTATTTTTTGTGTAAGTTTTGAAATCGCATTTTGACAAAAATCGTAATTATTAAGGCCTTTCAAAACATGTTTACACATATACTTCACTTTAAACCGTTTTTTGTTAGCAATGGTTTATCACTGGTTACAGGTGTAAATTAAATAGCTTTCTATATTTCATCTTCCCAACTATTTACCTTAGGCTCGGATACACGGAAGGGAGGCGAGACGATGGGGGCAATCGCCCCCTCCCATGCGTTTTCTAGAATTATTACTAACTGTTATTATTTTATAACTAACGAAAAGTACTCATCAAAATATGTTTTACTTAAAATAGAAAATGTAATTGTAATTTCTAAATAATTTTTCATTTTTAAATTTCAGACTTGTCTTTAATTTTTATCTGATTCTTGTTATTCTAATTATCTGATTTTGTATCACCGGAAATCGTTCAATCGCTAACATTAAATTATTTATAGTGCCAGAATATGTTGGGAAACAATAAAACATACATCTATCTTATCTGTATTTTATAAAACCTATAATTTTATATTTACGTAACTGTATAATTGTTTACCATTCATTTTTATAGGTTAAATAGAAAAAGGTAATTTAATTTTTGAAAATTAGTCCCCTCCCCTTTGGGTGACTTCGGGATTCTCTACTAACTAACCTATAACATTGGTCACATCCATCCATCAGTTCTTTTTTCCTTGTTCAGTTTCTATTTGCAACGCAATTTTGCACATATTAACGATATCTATATAATAATCATACATGTACAATTGTATTAAGTTTAACATCAGAATTAATTGACCAATTATCAAATTTAAACCATACCTATATTATATTATCTGTGCTCTCTTCTCGATTTTTTTCAATAGGGTTCCCTCATTAATTTTAAAATGAAGTTGATATATTTTTAATTTATATATTTAAATAGTAGTATTAGTATATATTTTATCTTAAATAATTTTTATATTACTATACTATTATTATGTATTATCTGCAAACGACTTGGAAATGGATGACCGATGATAAAATATTGTCTCGTATTTATACGAATTAATAGTTAATTTTTCTTAATGACAATTTTATCTGTTTTACCTAACCTTATTATCGGTAGGGGTATACGCATACAAAATCAACAATTTCTTTTCGTCATTTGCACTCGTTTTACAGTATGTTCTAATTTCTAGTTCTAACATATTGGAGAAAATTATTTTTAATATCTTTATTTTAAGAAAGAAAGAATTAATTCAACATTTATTTATTTTTCTTTTCTACGTAATTTCATTTCTAAAATTTTAAGTTACTTTTTGAAATATTATAATTCTGTACTCTTGGAATCAATAATATATAAATATATTTATATAATGGTGTAGAGAGGGGATTCCAAGGTTAAACCCCAGAATGAAAAAATATAAACAAAAACTTAGTCATAATCTAGTTTATACATTAAGAAATGTTTTTAATTATTTCAGACAGATGACCTTGAATTGTAATAACCCTTTAGATGTGCGCAATTTTATTACCTGGTTTGAATATTCCTACATTTGTATTTTTAATTCAAAAAATTACTTGTTACAAAAAATTACATCTAAAATTGATTGATAACTATAATATTTTACCTTGATTTTTCAACAAATTTAAATCGTAGGTATGTTATTTCAGATTTAATTTTATAATTTTTATTAGTTTTTATTTTTACCTTATGTTATGAATAATGCTACAAAAATTTCTTTAATTTGAAGGTCATGCATTTTAAGTATTTTGAAAAATTGAAAAAAAAATTATTTTGTAATGAACTTTAGATAGCTGAATCTCATTGCTACTTGAAAATCAAAACTAGGAAGGTATTCGTTTTATACAGTCCCACATTAAGATTGGTTAGAGGAGGCCATGGCCACTAGATATCGTAATATTGAGGGCCTCTGGTTTTAGCTGATACTGTATAAAAACTAATATTTTTAATATGTTTATAAGCTCCTAAAATTATTCGGCCCCAGGCCCAAACTTATCTTAATCCGGGCTTGGTTTTACCCTTTAAAAATAAGTGTGATAAAAAAAATGATAATGCAAAATTTTAGAACTGTTTGTTTCTTAAGTTTTAAAAACAAAAAAAATTCAAAAATAGTCAATAGTTTACGAACTAATGAATACTTGATGATTAAAGAATCATCTGGTAGTATTTGGCATATCAATTATTCGTTGGCAAGATAGACCTTAAACTACTACTACATAGTATAAAGTGTATGGCACAGTCTTCTAAGATCATTTTTGTTGGCGTATCTAAAGCAATGCGCAGTAATATTTTATAACAAATTTATCTAATGGTTTCAGAAACTCAAGGTCATTAGTTTATTTAACCTTATTTAGATAGGTACAAATCTAGTATAATCATAGCAGAATAGTAGAATTGTTTTTCAGGACTTAGTGTTGTACTGTTTTCAAGTCTATTTTATGGACCAACGGGATCAATATGGTGTTATGATGTCAAACAGTGTTTGAATAGAGATACTAGTTACTAGAGATACTAATTTAATTAGGACCAGTGTAAAAATAAATGGTGTTAAAATAGTGCTCGGGTAGAAAATAACATCAATATATTGATAAAATGTATTAACTACGAGCTTTGTGGAATTTATATTTCGAGGCTAATTTTGAGGTTTTATTTATGAATTCATTTATATATATGGATTCGTGGCTTAAAAAAATTAGATTTTTAAATAAGTGAAAACATACGTTAAACGATATCACAGTATATTATCGTTTAAAAGTTATTGTCGAAATGATAACAAAAATACTAAGTATAAATATTGTAATTTGCAGTATATTTTATATAATATACGGCGTATTTTATCGAACAATTTACTATTTTAGTACCTAACTATCATGGTTAACTAATAAAATATACTTGCCCCCCCCCTCCAAAAAATGATTTGAGCTAATAATTTTAATATATTGAAATTAAAACCTTTAATTTTATTATATATATTTTGTGAATTTTTTTTTTTTGCCCAATTTTTTATATAATTCTTGAAATACAAATCTGGAAAGCACATACCTGAAATGTAAAAGTCTGGAATGTACAAATCTTGAAAAATACTTTTCTATTAATCTAGTGTTAACAACTTTTGGACATAAAACATATAAGCCCATGAAAAAAACCATTCTTTTAAAAATTATAAGAAAAACAACATATACATATAAATTAATGTAGACCAGAAAAGGTATTAGGATTATTGTTAAGCTTGGAACATTAATTTCCTAGAAGTTTTTATTAGTGTCAGAGAACGGCTAACATATCTTTTCTTTTAATAAAACAATTATTAGGTGTATAGGTAAAATTTGCAAAATTGGGATATATTTTTATTTTTATAAATATATGGTTTACCCCTTTTACATAAAAGTAACAATACAACAACGAATATAATAGTATATTAAAGGTATTATGTAGACATCCTTAAAAATAAATATAAATTAAAAAAGTATAAATATTAATACAACTACACATAAAACAAACCTACATCAAATGAGGAGTTTTCATTGGCAAGTAACTTAATACATCTTAGAGGCTCATTTTGTAAATAATTTGAGTTGGCACTAGGAATATGAAAGGTTCTTTGAAAACGAGATGTACAGGAAGGGACTTTATAATTGATTTGGGATAGCAAGGATAGAGAATCAATTTGGTTAGTTATTAAACCACAAATCATTTTTTAAATTTAATATTCTTCTTTGTTCAGCAAAAGTAACTTCCTACGTACCTGCGTTAAGTACTTCAATGATATTGGCATAATTGTGGGGTAAATGGAAAATTCCTAAAACATCTATGTTGAACGCGTTCAAGTTGATCAGAGTCAGAAACAATATAAGGATCCCAGATTATCGATCAGTAATCTAAAATAGGACGGACTATAGCGCAGTATACGGATTTTAGTGATTTCGTTAGTCTGATATCTTTGGACAAACGCATCATGATCACTAAAAATTTAAATGTTCTATTGGAAATCATTGAAACGATAGGATCTGGATTTAGGGTACTAGACAATTTAAAACCGTACGATTTTTAAAACTAAAATATAATAGTCAAACAGTGTAGGACAACTAGTGAGAGTACAAGAACAAGTAAACTACATGATTCGACATTTAGAAGAATTGACTTTAAAACCTATTTTAGAACACCAATGAACAAAACAATCAAGGCTATTTTGTAGATTCGTACAATCATCAGCTGAGTTAATTTCTGTAAAAAGCTTCTTGTCATCTGCGAAACATAATAAAATACAAAAAGGCAAAGCAATACGTACGCTATTGACGAATAATGAGAATAAAATCGGTGATAAGTGTCCACCTTGGGGTACCCCAGACGTTGCCGAAAACGTGTTTGACTTAACACCAGAACATTTTACCCACTGTTGCCTTTTGGTTCAAAAAAGAACCAAACCATGAAAGGAGAGGATCACCAAAACCAGATGCTTGTAGAACTTTCAGTAAAAGTTTGTGGTTAACAGTTCTAAAAGATTTTGCTAGATCAATATAAACAACGTCAACTTGAGAACGTTTTTTAAAAGAGTCAAACACAAAATTGGAAAAACTAAGTTGCAGGTTGATTTACCCAGTCAAAACCTTGTTCTTCAATGAGGATATTATTGACTGATGGTTTAATACTGTTCAAGATCAAAGATTCAAATAGTTGGGATAAGTTAAATTGAACGGGGATAAGTCTATAATGAGTAATATTGGATTTATTACTAGACTTATGGATGTACATAATAGAACTAAATTTTAAAACTGAAGGAAAATTGCCCTCATCTAGAGAAGGTTGGAAAAGTAAAAAAAGCGAATAAGCTATAATAGAGCGTAACTGATAAATGTAAACTCCGGAAAGACCATCAGAACATATAGTTTTAATACCAAGCAAAGTAGAAAGATCTTGAAAAACATCATCAACAGTGAAGTATACATTATTTGGTAGGTCAAAAAATAGAATTGCTAAATTACTCACATCACCATTAATTACTTCACATGAGTAGACAAACTTGAAATATGATGCAAACATGTCAGCTGCATCTTATTTATTAGGACAGCAAGCACCATTAAGGGTTATTATATTTGGAATATCAGATGTAGAGCGGTATTTCTTTATAAATTTCCAAAAATTTCCTGGATTAGAACTAATTGACAACTCTGTTTGGCCAACATTCTCACGATAGCATTTTTAGATTCCGAGCATAGTGAGGTACCTCACTAAAAGATACCTTTTTTGTTTCTCTTTTGATTTACTTTCTTTACAGTATCATCGCTAAAAGTTTTAAGCCACTTTTGAAGTTTTAAGGAATTTTAATTTTTGGGAGTTTTTTTGCTCTAATTGGGTTATAAATACACGTAGAGACTTGAAAATTGGTAATAATACCTATATTGGACTTACCTAGACGTGGTAAAATTTCCAAAATTATCTAATGACTTTTAACTAATAAGTGTTTTGAAATCAAATTTAAACGAAAATCGTAAAAATTATGTATTACCGAACTGCGCTCGTAATCGTTTTTCGTCAAGCAATGGTTTATCGTTACTTACAGATATAAATGAAATAAACTTATGTATCCTATCTTTCCAACTCCTTAACAGTGGCCGCTCCCATTGCCAGTATGAGTTCTCTATTGGATTCATGTTTATAACATGCCCTAAGAAGTGAAAAAGTTTTCTAATATTCAGTGTTAAAAGTGGATTTTTAGATTTGTTTTCAAGAATTGTACCTTTCAGATTTATACATTCAAGGTTTGTATATTCCAGATTTTTACAAGTGTCCCCACTCTAACACTAAACTATTATATATTATATACGTATATAAATAAAAATGTAATGACTGGCTAACAAATTCATATACATGTTTAGATATAAAGTCCTAGTACAGACATTGTACAACATTACGTTTGATAATATTAAAATACCATTGATATTATGATCTATAGTCGTGTACATAAGATAACATATGACTATAGACTTATACATCTAGACGAAACATTCACCTTGACTGGGGATTAAAAGCATCAAAAGGATCAAGAGATATACACTGATACATAAATAGTATAGTGTGAGAGTGAGCAACTTTGCACTCTGAGGATAGCCAACTAGGCTCACGTACAAGGGAGGTCTTCAGGTGCTCACCTCAAAAAAAAAAATTTCATGAATATTATGATAAAAGTAGATTTTTAATAGAGTCTCATAAGTGGTTTCTGTCAATGAGGAAGATAAATACAATTTTGGTTTTATTTTTATTTTATTACTATATAGCAGGTATATATTGTTATTATTGTAGTTTCTAATTTTTTGTAGTTTTTCAGCTTTTATAAAATTATAACTGGTACGGCGATACTGCATAGATCGCATTATCATCACAATAATATGAATTATGTTAGGCTGTATTTATTAAAAAATATTAAATGTAAAATTTAGTAATAAGTACCTAAAAGGCTAAAAATTAATGTTATAAAATATTGACATTTTTTACAAAAAATAAATAATCCAATGATTTAAAGTATGTAAACTTCTTTGTTATACGAGTATGAAATTGTACAACCTTAATTCTCTCCCCCCCACTTGAAATATTTTTTTTTAAATGCACGTGCAGCCAAAACTCCGTTACACATAATGAAATGAAACTTCTCCTACTAGAACTCGTTTTCATGCTGAATGTTCAGTCTGCATATAAAGGTCTATGGATATGACCCTCAACAAATTAGTTTACTGATCCAAGGAGAGCTAATTTTTAATATGTATTTGTATTTTAAATAAACTACATTTGAGTACATTAATATGTTATCAGTTATTACTCATTATCATATATTATAGGGACATAGGGAACACATTGTAAAACCAACTGGAAAATTAAAGTATATGATTTTAAAGTCCGTAATATTTACGATTTTCGTTAAAATTTGATAGTTAAACTCTAAAATATAATACTACATCACACTTAATTTTTTTTTTTACCAATAAATACAACTCAAACCTCTTCTCAAATATTCTGGAATTTTTGTTTGGTCAAACAATTATATCTACATAGTACCTACACGAAATAAAAACTACCTACATAAAAATCTTGCTAATTTTAAAGCGCTTATAAAAAATCAAAAATCGCTTAAATAGCCCTCAGAAAAATGCCATAATATTATATAAATTTTACTACGTCTGGAAAAAGCAAATATGAATTTTCTGTCAAAATTTAAAGTCTCTATGAATATTAGCTAAATTACAGTAAAAAAGACGGACATACGTCGCATGATGGGTGAAGCACTGATCACTGTTGTAGACGAGAAGTTGGGAAGGTAGGATATAGAGGGGAATTTAATGTATATGTATCTATAAGAAAAGATAAATCATTACTAATGGAAAACGATTCTGAGTGGAGTACGGTTAATAGTATGGATTTTAAAATAATATATATATGTGTAATACTAGCTGTCCTGTGTCCGGCGTTGCCCGTGTCAATTTGTATTATTATTATTTTACCTATATTAATTTTTGTTTGACCGTGTCAGAATTGAATGAAAACAAATACCTTAGGTAAAAAGTAAGTAGTCTACCTTTGGCGAACTAAATGTATTCTATTGTGAAATTAATATAAACTAATAGTGTAAATAATAGTAATAATAATAATTATAATAGTTTTCTTTTCCGTAACACCAAAGTAATCGTCGAATAAACAAAAATAAATAAATAAGTAATTAGATATTCGTACCAATTATACTTAAAAACATTTATTTTACTTAGGGGTTGAATTTTTAAAAATCCTTTCCTTAGTCATAATAGCTATCTGTGTGCCAAATTTTAGCCCAAACCATTGGATAGGTGGGGCTAGAACATGTTATTATATATATATATAGATTATAGTAAAATTATTGTATATTTAAACAACTCGTATGGACCAGCAGTAGCTAGATTTGTTTCACATAATTTTTACTAAAACAATTTTCGTCAAATTTGATATTAAAATTCGTATATAAAAAACAATTCTACATTAAACTCAATTTTTTTGTTTAGCCACAAGTACGACTGCTAATGAACCTTCCGTTCAATTTTCAAGCATTTCTGTTTAATCTAACAATTTGATCCACATAGTCTCCAATACTAAATAAAAATGAATCACGAAATTAAAATGTCTATAAAAAGCTCAAAAATGGCTCAAATATTTTTACAATTTTAACACGTCTTGAAAAGTCAAATATACGTTTTCTGTCCAAATTTTAAGTCTTTATGAATATTTTAAACTAAATTATAAATGCATTATTTTCGTAAATTTTTCCGTTTGTCCGACATTTTATCCCGGGCTTTCCCAAATATTATGAAAACGCTTGGAAAATTAAAAAATGACCTCCCTAAAGTACTATTTAGAGAAAATTTCCTTTTAAAAAAATTTCTATACTTGATACACCGGAACAAGATTTCTATACTTGATACTCCGGAACAAGATTTCTGATAAAAAAATTTGCACAACAAATAGAGGGGTACAATTTTAAAATGGATTTAAAATGAATATTGTCCTTCTAGTCCAGGTTCAATGGAATCAATTTTTATCCCCTTTAGGGTGCATACATTGCTGCGGGCTATGTTAATCTTTCCATTCCCAATGTCTCTTGCCATAAGACACATTTTACCAAATGAAATTTGGTAAAAAAGATTCAAATTTAATAAATGCCTGGGATATGATTTAGTTAAAATTAGATTCTTTAATATTTTCCCGAAAAACCATTGTTCTTTTAACTTTTTTACATAAATCCATGTTACGATTATCCTATTTTCTTGTAATATGGAAATTATCTACAATTTTATTTTACTCATACATAAACCAAGCAAACCCACTAACGTACCTTCTTTATACAAACTCATAAGTCTATCCCTATACTCGCCATGTTACGACTCTCAACCCCGTATCTAAGTAGGTATGATATAAGTTTTTCATTTTATCGAATGGACGCCAGTAGCGTATTTAGAAATAAGTTCAACAAAATAGTAGGTATATTATTATTATTTCCATGACGAATTCTTTCCTCTGTTGACTGATAATATATCATAATTTGTTTTTATCTTGTGGCGGACTGCGCACTGCGATAACAATCGTTATAATTTTTGTTATTTAAATAATGCTTCTATTACCTCATAACTATCCTATTTTGTATTAATCAATAATATTTTAGTTATAATAACTTATAAACTATAGTATTCATATTTTTAACCAATAGCGAATACTAATTTTACATGTATACATTATGATTTAAGTTATTATTTTTTATTTCAATAGTTAATTATTCTTGGTTGTCATACCTATTCAAATATATGTATTTATAATGTCTGAAAGTTTTATTAAAAATGAATATGGTATTATAGAATGTTCTGATGATGAAAATTATGGTTTTAAACAAAATCAGGTAATTGTAAAACAAAAAAATATAATTATCTAAAGAAATGTATTTATATTTCACGTTATAAATTATTTCAAGTTCATGAATGATTTAAATAACAAAAAAAAAAAAAACCATTTTGTTTTGTCTCTATGGAAACAATTATGAAGGAATACTATACAGATATTTATATATCTACTTGTATAAAGATACCATATATTAATAATACATTAATTAGACATTAAAATGTGTTAAATAAAGTTGTCCCTATAACATAGGTTCTCAATTTAAGGTTAATGTAACCAATTTAAATTTACATTTTATCTAGACCTTAAAAACTAAATTTATTATTTTAATTAATTACTTAAATTTGTAACAAATATTGTAAATATTTTTTTTTGTCTAGTATTATTAAATATTTTAATTTTAGGTTAATGAGTATTACCCGGAACCATCTGAAATATATTCACTTTACAAAACATTAGAATCAGGTAATGCTGCTTCTTTAAAACTAGAATGGACATGTCCAGGGCGAAGAGAATTAACACCCAATGATGATAACCAAATTTCTCAGAATAACGCTAATGATCTTTGTGATATTACAGAGTAAGACTTATTTTTGATCATTTAAAAGTACATTTATTAATTTTTTTTATTAGGTCATTGAAACAATCTGGTTTTGATTTTGAAGAAGATATATCACACATGAACTTAAGCCGTATTGATGGCAAAAAGGAATTAAAAGGAAGTGCAAGGAAGAAGACTACTAGTTTAGATGCAGTTTTATCGAATATGGCCAGACATCAAAAATTAGATAATATGCTTGATGAAAAATTTGATTCTTTATAAATATCAATAATTAAATAGGTATGAATAAAATTTAAAACTTCATGATATTGTATGACCAAAAATCTGAATTTAGATTTACTATAGTAATATTCTAGGGATGTATAAAACTGGAAATTATACATTTTCAAAAAAACAGCAATAAATCATAGTCAACAATTAAATGAGGAAAGAAAATTTCAAATCTAATTTTTAAATATTTAATACTTATATTACTTATTGTACATTCTGTAAAGATCGTAATTTTTCAAATAAAGCTTTAAAAAAAATATAAATTTAGTACTTAATAATTTTTTTTATTAAGTACTAAATTTATATAGATAATTAATATATATGTATTTTTTTTTATGTAAGTTTGAATAATTTAGATAAAATAAGTAAACAATTTTGTTTGATTCACGATATTCAATCCCGAAAATCAAGTTCAACACATCTAAATATAAACAGTGAAAATTTGGCTAAATCATCAAAGTGACTGATAAAATGTTTTGATATTTTTTACTATCCTAAACAAGTGGAGATCGAAGAGTACCATTTGTATAATGTTTGAATAAGGCTATTTGGAATATCTTGTTAATGGGTCAAACCATCTTGTTCAATGGAAATCAGAAATGTATTTAAATTACTACTTCATCTATTTTTGGTATTTTTTATATAGGTAGCCTTTTATAAATCAAAGAGAAACCAAAATATAATGGTAATTTAACATTTTAGAGCTGTTTGTTTCCTAAATTAATACATTTTCAAAAAAAAAAAAATTCTGAAAAATGTTAATACTTTCCTAGATGTTGCAATGGGTTTATCTTTATGGGGTACTGTGTATATATTGTAATATTCAATGTATGTATGTATTGGTATTATTTAATAATTTTGATTTAAGAATAACATTTACCAATACCATATTAATTACATTGTATATTTATCAATTTAAGTTTCAAGTATAATATTGTTAATTTGACATATGTTAACATATGTCAAATATATTAAGTATTATTAACGAGTAATAAGTACTTTTGTTTTTCTATTTCAATGCAATAGCATACAAGAGTTATTTTATAAAATCATAAATTTTAGTACCTACTCATTTAATGCATAATATATACCAGTTTTATATGCATCAATTTGAGTTTAAATCAACGAGGGCCTTTTTAGAGCATAACTAATTGTTAAGTGAAAATTGCATTCCATAATTCACAAAGGTGTAAGCATATACGGATAGATACATAGACATTTGCAAAATAGACTATTACTTAATAATATTGAACAACTTATAATATTATAATTTATTATCAAATATTTTAAATTTTCAATTACACATTGGTTTTTCCAGGAGAATCAACCCTAAATACTAAAAAGAATTTAATATGATTAAATATATTATTTTATTTTAATTAACTTACATCCAATTGGGTAATCTAACAAAAAATATTTAAAGATGTTTATAATATTAAATATGTATAAAGGACTTAAGAGAGGTTGAATATTTGTTAACATAAACATTGAGAAAAAAAAATATAATCATTTTTAATAAGTTTAAAACTGTTCTAACACTTGATTGCATTTTAGTAAAATGTATGGCAATTATTTTTCTATTCAAATTTGAATTTTGTTAATTTATTTTGAAATATGTAGTAGTTAATAAAACTATAATAATGTATGCGTGTTTTAGAATTTTAAACAAAATAAAATGGGAGTCAAAGAATATTCTGATCGCCGCCTTGGATGTTCAGTTTGCCCAAAAACAGCAACTACTAATAATTCTTCATCTAATAGACTAAGGTTTGAAAAAAAACATGCAGAAAAGAATATTACTACTAGTCAAAAATATAAATGTGAAAAAAGTGAAATAATACCAAAAGTTAATGAATGTTATTGCTATCAAATGGAACTTATAAAAAAAGAATCTTGCCCTAAATTAATATGTTCAAAACGTTTCAAAGCTCCAAATATTGAAATCGATAAAGACTGGTTAAATGGAATTTTGGAATTTAGACGTGAAAATTGGTTTGATTGTCATACTGATACCACCTTTTTTTAAAAATGCTAATCTTATTTGTAAGTATAGGTGCATATTATTTATATTTTTTCTAAAATTGTTACAGATTAACATTAAAGTTTAAATAGGTATATTAGTTTAACTAAGCACTTTAAATTAAATACATATCTGTGTATAATAAATACAAAAAAATAAATTTATTATTATTTTACTATAATAAGTTTTTTGTGGTACTCTATATTTTGGTAATTATATGACCAAAAATATAGTAAAACATAATAAATTAGTAATCTATATTTGAATTTTGAAATTTGAACTGTTACTTATTACATTTAAAATTAATTATGAAATATATTATTGACTATACCCTTTAATTGAAACAATTATATTTGTTTTTATTGCAGATAACATTGGTGTACATACATTGGATTTTAATCAATCTGGAAATAATGTATCTGTATACATGGATAAGAATAGTTTAACAAAATGAGCAAAGCCAAATAAAAAAAATCTGATCATAAATGACCCATAGCATTTCCTACTTAAATAATGCTTAGTAATAATCAATGTATTCACAGTGCACCTATATCTCACAAAGATTAATTATTTTCTTAAATGAAGGACACATCAACGTAAAACTAGTAATAAATTCTTTGGAGGAACTTTTGTTCATTATGGAAGTTTTAGTAATTCAAATTTTACATTTTTGTCTTTAATCGTGAAACATTGTATTTTTAAATAGAAATAATTTAATAATAATTTTTAAGATTCACATTTTATTTTGTATTGTATTGTTGTATATTATGTTGTTTTTAAATTTAATTCAAAATGTAAAAATGTTTTTAATACACTGTCTATTATTAAAACATAAATCATATAGTTTAACTATGTGTGACTATATAGTAACCAGTGGACTGACGGATCTAAATGATAACATATTCAACAACATTCGGTATTTGACATAATTTAACAATATTTACAAACATAAACCCCTTTAATAATCTAATTAGTATTAAGTTCAATTTGCTATAAAACATTGAAAACTAAGTTAATTAATAATGCTATAAGGCATAGTACAATAGTAAGTGGTTAAGTGGTATACAACATACTGAACTTTGAAAAGCTATGATTGTCTGAGCCTATAGTGGCTCTACTATACTAACTATACTGTTATAGTGGCTTAAAATTAGGCGATATGTCCACTATAAATATTACTATAATGATGGGACGAGATTTTTATACATTTTGGCTATTAAAATAAACGATTGAAGCTTTAAAGAAGAAAAGAAATAGGAATTTACCAGCAGGAAAATATAAATACTATTAGATAGTAGACATACTATGATAAAATTACTGTAGCAATAGCAACGAAATGAGTGCCGGTGACAGTAAGTTGTTATCCACGTTCTGTGGAGCAAATGCTATTGGTACCACTGTGATCACGTAGCTCTATCGATTCGCGCTTCTCTACCACTTCTACCTACCCGCACAGTATCGCGCTCTCCCCTCCCGATTCCGTGTTCTGCAGCTAAGTTCGTTTTGGTCTATGACCGTACTTTTTACCACTTTAAGTAGTTTATCTATTGGTTGTTTTTCGGCGAGTTTTGCTTTTTTTTTTTTTTTTTTTCAATTTTTTTTTACTCCACACAAACTCCCCTCATGTTTTACCTTTCAACGTTCATCTTGTTCACCGCTTTCGTTGTCGCGTAAAATCCTTAACGATTCCTCTAAGAAAACGATATCGTGTCGTCGCGCGCACGACAACAGACGCCGTCACCCTCATCATCCCTGATAAAGGTACGTCGTCGTCGTCGCCGCCACCATCGCCGAAATTGAACTGTAGCAGAAGTAGCAGTAGTAGCAGCAACAGTAGTAACAGTAATAACAGTATCATTAGCCGCCGTCGTCGCTGTACGCCGTATACTACTACCGCCGTTGCGAATCCATCAACAGCAACGGTAACAGCTTCAACAACAATAGCCGCAGTAGCTGTAGCAACAACTATAAGTCCTACAGCATTATCTTCGACGGCCGCCGTAATGGAAACTCAAGATACGAGCATGACGAACCTGATAATCAACTATTTACCGCAGTCCATGACCGACAAAAAACTGCATCAAATGTTTATCCAGATCGGACAGATCGAAGCTTGTAGGGTGATGAAAGATGTCAAAGTAAGTTTCTCCGCGCCATTGTGGTCCACTTTAATGAATGATGAGTAGGTGTACCTTTTCGTTTAACAATAAGAACGATGGCTGTAGGTAAATCTGTACATTAGACAATATAATAATTGTTTGTATTTTTCTTAAATATTCGGGTTAAAGGATTTGAAATTAATTCTTAGTTATTCTTACAAATTGTTGTTTTTGAAAAAAAAAAATTTAAATACTTAATATGTGGTTTTGAATTCAGAAATAGGAATTTTTTTATGAAAAGCATGTAGCGAAATAAATTGAAAAATAGTTGTAATTAATACAAAAAATCCCTTTAAAAATAGATTAACTCCAGATTAACTGTACATAAATAAAAAATTCAAATTACCTATTTTTTATTAATTTTTTTAAGAATTTAATTTCAGAGTAGTTAATATTTTATATATTTGTCTAAAAGTTTTTCAATGTGTTTTTCTTAATCAGTTCATCAGTTTTTCAGTGAAAACATTTTATTTTGATATCTACTTAGTTACTATTTAGTGTCTTATATCTCAGTAGCTGTAGTTACTTTAGTTTTCACATTTTTGTCTCTATTATTGTCAGAATTATTGTTACTTTATGATTATTCTGTATTGTTGGACTTCTGATAATCTGTGAATCATTGATTTTCCCTTATGTTGATCATTCATTATCGATAACATCACATACCTACTTTTAAATTAAGACCTTTTATATTAAATTTATGAGTCCATGTTTCAAATGATTCAGTAAGGATTATTAATATTTTCATGTCCAAGTTATTTTGTAGAAAACCTTCGCTATAAAAAATAATTGGCTCTTGGGTTGATATAGGGTAGGTAGGTCTTTTTTATAATTAGGTAGTATCTACCTAATTCGATTCAATGCATTTTTTACCATTGCTCTAATAATATTGATTTGTGTATTCTTGTTTTCTTCAATACTTTAATTATTCCCAAGACAAATTGTTTCGATAATTATTATTAATAAATTTGTGGCCTATAGTAACATAGTTGTTGAATTAGCTGGTTAATTTACAATTTGAATATGCTTTTACGACATGTGTAACAAATAAGTAGTGCAATATTATTAAATTTACCTAACCTAATCATTTTAAATATTTTTAATACAGTTTTCATTAATATAAGCAGTAGGTAATGAACACATTGATCAATTTTTAACAATGTCCATAGAACAGTGAAAATCCCATTACAATGACTAAGGCAAACAAACCAAAAGACTTCAGGTCAATATTGCTACTATATAATATATTAATTATAAAAAAGAAATATCTTAAATAGAATAACCAATCAGTAATAGAAGATAATTTAATAATTCTGCACCAGTCAAATATTAAACTTAACACAGAACTTTGAAGATGGTTTTGAAATAAAAAGTTACTGGAGCCGTCTGTAATATATGATACTGTTAATCATAATCCCTTATTGCTAATAAGTTATTGAATAAAGTTTATAAAAAACTAAGGACTGTTATCTTATGAAAGTAATTGATTCAGTTAATCACAATAGTCTAATATCCAATATTCCATGTGACTTTAAGACCAAAAAAAAAAAAAAAACTGGAGAAATTAAATATATGGTGTCATACAAAGTTATTGTCCTTGCATTAATAAACTTGAATGTGTAAATGATCAGTCCATTATGAAAACTACTTGTGGTTTCTTATCTGCCAAAAAATTAGCGATTAATGCATTGGGAAAAATGTTTAGTAAAATTGAACAAACATTCACACATGTGCTAGAGACATTGGACATATGCAATGAATTCAATAAAACTCAACTAAATAAAAAAACGCAAGTACCTTAGTGTATTCTACCTTAAAAAGATGCATGCAAGAAAGGAACTAAAAATACAAAAGTGGACATCAATCTTGAATTTACATACCTAAAGGGCTCCATACACGGTCAGTTATGAATGTCAATTTTTGTGATTGTTACTCATAATTGACCACCTATGTTGATGAATGTCAATATTTTTTCGTAACTGATGAAATTCTAACATGTTTGATTTTTGGAGTGAATCAGAGTGATTGGCATTTATAACTGACCATATGCGGTAATGATTGATACGTGTTTATCATTCAAAACTTAATATCAAACCTGTACCATGTGCTTTCCTAACCACTTTCGTCTTTCAAATAAACAGTTTTTTATTTCACAATTATTTATAATTATAATTATTAGAATAATCAATAAATAAAGTAGGTTTATTTTAACTACACATAATGCTATTTTTAATATAATATTTTATAGTATAATATATTACTGTGTAAGCTTCTTCCATTTGTATTTGATTTGGAAAACTTGAATATACAATAGGATATAAATTATGGTAGATATATTGGTGGCAAAATTTGTTTTTAATTGAAGAATCATCAAGTAATAGTTATTCACAATTGGCCATGTATGTCAAACTTAACATTCATAACTGACCATGTATGGGGCCCTCATTCACATTGGACAGAAAATTAAAATTAAAACTCAAAATAACTTATTAAGCAAATTAATTGGAACAATATGGGGAGCTGACGGCTCCTCAACTGCTACGGACCACAACACTTCCTCTATGCTATTCAGTTGAAGAATATTTATGCCTAGTTGAATAGGGATAAATGAACGTGGCCGTTTGGATGTATTTATAAATTATTAAACCAATGATATGTACCTATAATATAACATAATATAACTAATCTTATTGTAGGTAGATAACTTATCATTTATTAATATACATTAGATATTATAGGAAGTACCACATCATATTGGTTTTTATAACCGGTTATACTTTATTGCAATTGTATACAAACTATGAATTGTGTTAGTAAAATTTTTTACTAATTTTTTATTAATTTATTTTTTTTATGCTCAATTTGTTTTAACGTCTAATTGTCCTAGATCGATGCCCAGTATAGAGTAGATTATGTCATGCAAAATTAGTGGATATAGTCTTAAATAAAACATGTCGCTTAATAATTCATTTGGTGCAAGTTTTAACTGGCATAACCCTCCCTCAGATTTCAGAAGTATGACTAGTAATGTCCAAAAAATAGCCTAGATAAACGATGCAAGACTCCCCTCCATGAATACCAACCGGTAAAGCAAATTTAAATTAAGAAAACAATTTTAAAATCAACAGCGTTGTAGCTCTCAACATTTTTAAGCATGAACAATATCAAAGATAAACATTGAATCAAACTAAAACTTCAAAATAAGATGAATAGAAAAAAACCCACCCAGATACTGCAACATACTGGAATACCTAGAAAACACTTATTATATGGGTGTGACTAGGTATGTTTCTTGAATAAGAAAAAATCTGCCCAAGTGTGGGGGTATAATGCAGGACCATAGACTGCAATGTGTAAGTGAACTAACTGAACATCATTTACTAATATGCTCTTTAAACTCAGTGTCATACACACCTGAAGACTGAATAAATGCAAAAATGTGGCTATACGTGTAGCTATTCAATGGAGCAAAAATCAATGAGCATTGAGAAGCATTTATTGCCTATAAGTAGTAATAAATTATGTTAAAATAGTTAAAAGTACCGTTTTGGGTTTCAAATATATTTGTTTAAGCAATTTTAATGTTTGTTGTTCGTAAAACAATATTGATTCATTATGATGGAATATTTTGTCAGTGTGAGTAGTCATTTTGAATCATATATCACTTGTTAACCCATCTTAAGAGATTGAACCTTTTGATATTGGTACAGAAATATTTCCTAGTTGATAAACTGAATGTTCAATGTTATAGCTGTGTATAACTCAAGATAAATTATGGGTAGCTTCAAAAATAGTTATTATTATGACAAATACAGACCTATAAAAATTACAATTAATGATGAGATCTTGAACCTTATTTGTACAAAGCAATGTTTTGAAATAATTAATTTTATAAAAAAAAATAAACTATGTGTAACATGTAAATTTAAGTGTTTCTTTTGAAACTATACATTTTGATTATTTTTGTATTAGTAGGTATAAGTAGGTATAAGAAAAATGTTGATAAAATTGACTTTTGTTTATTTTCAATGTTTTTAATAATGATTCTATAATAGCCATTTTGTTTCTTAAAAGATAACACTTTTAAATAGCATTATAATTGATATTTTGTTTAAAATCATACTACATAATGTTTATTTAAAATTAATAAATAATTCATTTTCATCAAAAATTAACTTGCTAGAAAAAAGTTCATTAAGTTACATTAATTATTGCATATTTTTGTCTAATTTTATTTATTAATTTAGTGAATAATTATAATAATAGATAACATTTAGTAATTTACAATTTTTTTTAGACCGGTTATAGTTTTGGTTTTGGTTTTGTCAATTTCGCTCGCCCTGAAGATGCATCTAGAGCTATTGAAGTGATGAATGGTCTTCAAGTCGAAAATAAACGTTTAAAGGTATCTTATGCTCGACCTGCCGGGGAAGATATTAAAGATACAAACCTTTATGTTCAAAATTTACCAAGGTAAAAATAATCTAAAAGTAAACTTTTTAACATGATTTATTTTTAATAAAAAATATATTTTAGGTCAATAACAGAAAGAGAATTAGAAGACCTCTTTGCACCATATGGTCAGATTGTTCAAAAGAATATACTAAAGGACAAATACAGTGGACTTCCCAGAGGAGTAGCTTTTGTTCGGTAAGATTTTTACTATGTATTATTTAAATGTGTCTCTATTAAACATCAAATGCTAAATTATGTTTTAATTATAGCCCCAGCAGGGTATACTTTATTTAGAATTCCTTTAGAATTATTCTTTTGCCACCATATTTGTATCAAAAGTTAATTTTTTTTTTTATACTATAGTTACAACAAAAAAGAAGATGCCCAAAAAGCAATAAATCAGCTGAATGGTGTTTTGTTGGAAGGATGCTCAGAACATTTGTCCGTGAAAATAGCTGAAGAACACGGCAAACAAAAAGCAGCATATTTGGCTGGTCTTCAAACTGGCTTAGCGCACAGAGGTACAAACGATACCCTCACATACTTAAGCTACTAGATAACAAAAGAAAAAAAGAAAAAAACCTAAAAAATTTTCCCCCCCCATTCAATAATCTGTTGTTTCAATGTCTTCTTCGAGGTTACATGCCATAGATCAGAAACAAAATTTAATACCTTGCATTCTGGCGCTTCGGTTTTCTGTAAGTATCATCAATCGTATAAACCTAGGTCTATTATGATACATAAAAATGTAAAATGTATGGTTAATATTTACGTTAGGGTTGGGTCTTTTCAGTATATTGGTATTTTAGTCATATTCGGCAGAAAGAGCTTATGGTTTTGCTTATTAAATCTATTAAATACAATTAATAGTCGTCTATTATTTATTGCATGTAAATGCTGCAAAAATATTCATGAATAATTTAATTAAACACTATACTTTAATATATAATGAACCAAATTTGTTTGAACAATGTTTGTAATCCAAACTTTTACTAATGGACTATACCATAACTAAACTTAATAACATTTAAATCATAAAATGTAATAGAATACAATGCATTAAGTTTTTTGATTTTAATTTAATGTATTTTATTAATAATTAATAAAATGCTAGATACTAGAAATAACTTCAGAATTAATCTAAACATAGTTTGATCTTTTAAAAAAATATTTATAATACCCTTTTGTATAAATATATTAAATAATCAATTATTATGTACGTTATTTTTTTATTTATAATATTAACCTTAAGACATATCTTGTGAAGTTTACCTAAAATGTAGATTATTACATTATATGGTTTATTATATATGTATGACTTTTCCACTACTTAATAGTTTTACTAGCCCAATATGAGCTCACAAAGTTTTATGGTAGCAATGGTTTTTTTATCATATCTACTTTAATAAAACAAAAGTATTACCAATCGGAATAAAAAAAACAAGTCTTTTTATAAAACAAATATTAAACATGTTAATGGTATGATAAGGTGTATTTATTGTGAAGTTTACTTTGTTGTTGAATGAGGGAGTGTTTGAAATACCCCTATAGTTCTCCAAATGAATCTTTTAACTTTAAATCCTCTTCCCTACCAATTTCAGAGTATATTGTAGTATTGTATTATTATTATAATAAATAAAGAACTAGACAATTTGAAAAAAACAAATCTCTGCTACTTATAGATGTTTTACTATAACCCTTTTTTTGTTCAAATTAAAATCTATATTGGTAAATGTCCATATATATAAAAATTATTAAAATTAATTACTTGAATACAAATTTAAAATAACTGTTATACATTTTTTAATGCTTAAATAATAATTACACATTTGTTTGTGACAAAAATAATATTTTTAAAAAATATAATTATTTTATCATATTTCTTAATAGTTACTTATATTTTTGAAAAATAGGGTACCATAAATTGAGGTGAGGTGACCTTGATCAATTTGTGCCTTTTTTTTATCGTTTTACTCGAAATTTGTTTAATACTTACGTTACATATCTCAAAATAATTTTGTTGCCTCAAGTTTATTTTTACCAATATCCCTTTATTTAATTTAAAGTTTTCAACAATTGATTTTTTTTAAATTAAATTTTGAAAACAGCTATCAAAGTTACACCGACTTAGGAGTGACTTTGATACTACTATTTGATTTTCATTATGTCTAGTATCCAACTTTCTTTTATTTACTCGACCTACTATAAACAAGTTTTATTAAATTTTAAAACATCATATAAATTATCAAACCTGAAGAATTAGTTGAAAATAACGCCATGATAATGCCTTCAAATTATATAAATTGAGTGAAAATTAATAAAATGTATTAACTTAATTTGCATAAATAATTTGTTTCTGATCTTTTTTAACTGTCTAATGCATGGTATTTTTATTTAATAATAATGAATAAAATATTTTATCATAAAATTGCTTATCATTGTTCAAATGTTAATCTATATTTGGTATTTATTCATGAATTATAAAAACAAATAAATTCATACCGTGTAGTCACTATTGATGGTTTCATAAAAATAAAACATTATTATCAAAGTTGTCCCAATTTACCATAGATAATTTTATAATAAGCATATAATAATAATGTACTTATAAAAAGATATCTTAAATATGTTATTTAGTGTGCATACGTTTTGGTGAAAAGATTTTATTTTCTTTAAAATAGATGCAAAATTATTTGGTCTTTATATTACAGTATAGTGTTGTGAATATTTTTATTTCGTAAAATTTATACTATATATATGTACAAGGTGAAAGTTTTAGTAAAATATCAAAATTATTTTTCTGGTCCTTCTTTTATATGAATTATAAATGTTTATTTGTTAAATATTTTTGGTTTTTACACACATATTTTCAAATAGTATTTTATAATAGAAATATAAAATTAAAGATAAGAGTTCAATTTTAATAAATGTTTAAAATAATTTTGAGTTAGTTTAATTTTTTTATATATATAAATTATATAAATCTTAAACATATTAATTATAATTCAATAATTAATCAGGAAATATATCACTTTAATAGGAATAATATAGTATTTATGTTGATTCATTTAGCGTAAAACACTATTTTGCTAAGTATAGAATTTTTTCTAACAAATTTCAATTTATTTTCCAAAATAATTACTTTAATAATTTAGTTATTAGTCTAAAATTTAATATTTTCCTTTTTCAAGATTATGAAATATTATAATAGCTTTGTACATATATATCTAATATAATTAATATTAATTACTAATTTAAATTTATTAAACATTAGTTTTATTGTCTATGTATTATAACTCAAATGGTAATAAATGGTTTTTTTTAAACTGTGATTTACATGCTTTGTGATAAAATCTATTTTAAACGCTGGTATTGGATATGTATGTATTTTTAAAATAATGAATATAAACTTAGAGTTTTCTTTGTCTATTGTATAGTTGTTTTTATAGTTTATAGCAAAGAATTAAGAATTAAGTATTCTTCTCTGAAAATGATACACTTAAAATCAAACTATAGATATGACATTGATAGTCTCAGCCTTTATCCTCTACAAGCTCTGATCTTATTTCACTCCCATATTGGACAGCTTATTTCTTTTATGTGCTTTCTATTTTTTGCATTATGGTCTAAAGGTTTTTTTTTTTTTTTAGACCATTTTTATACTTTGTTTTTGATTTTATTTATTTATAGTGTTCTGTTTTCGTGTCATTAGGGGCCAAAAATTCACAAAACATGCACCAATTAATACGAACTAATCATGTAATTGAAAAGTATCCAAATCCATTGTTGCAGCATGTTGACAGACATAATATCGGTGCTGTGCGTCAAGATAGGGCTAGTTACCGTTATACACCGGTTGGTATGTTTCCACAACCACCACCACATGGTTACAATGTTGGCATTGGTAACAACAACATGTATTAAACATTTTTCATGTACATCTTATACAAATTTTAAGGTTTTTTTCTTTAAAAAAATGTAAATTAAATTAATATAATATATATACATATATATATATATATATATCTTTGTATATATATATATACATATATATATATATATATATATATAATCTGTCTTCATAATTTAAAATTGCTCGATATATTTAAAAATATGTTGTAGATTTCATTTATATATATTATTATCTAGCATAGAAATTGTATTGTAAATAACTTCAAATAACAAATAAAATTACTTTAAAATTCTTCGGAATGTTTATCATGAAAAAAACTCTTAATTTTAATTTTGATATTATTATTATCCTTTTATATAATAATTAATTATCTTAATTATTAGTTTAAAATATTATAAGCCTATATGCATGTGTGCTTATTATTATGTTTTTCTACCTTTTTTTTTTTTAATAATCTTTGTTAGAATGAATGATTCTGATCACTGAAGTCTTAAAAAAACTAATACTTGCCACACAATTATTATTTATAATAAAACTTTGGATTAATATATATTTTTCATTTTGATGTTGTTAATATTTATGTTAGAAATTTTTTTTTTTTTTTTACTGAATATTAGCCTGGCAACTAATGTGTTGTGTGTTTATTTCAGTAATGCTCAGTAAACAAGTGAATTAAATTTACATATGTTAGTAGAGTTAAGTTATATTTTTAAATATACAGGGGATACATATCTATAGGTATTAGGTAAACAAATTATTTTAAAATGATATTCATGAAAATTAATTTAGTTTTACAAAAAAAAAAAAAAAAAAAAAATGAAATTGGATATTACGTGTAAAATATAACCTGTATGTAATTTTTTTTCATATAATAATATTATTTTGAAATGTTTTTTTTTTTAAATGTATGCTAACATAAAATTTTATTTAAAGCATATATATATATATATTGTTAAAATGTATATATACATATTTATGTGGTCATCATGTATTTTGAAAATAGCATACAAATTATAGAATTTTTTATTTTTATAGATTAATGTTGATTTTAATAAAAATCCATGAAATTGTTCTCAATGAAATTATGAAGATGTAAACCAAAACAACACGATACTGAATTGATCACGGTTTTAACAAATATTTATTGTAAATTAACTCGAACGTAATATCTATTAATCATAAAATAATATATTAAAATTTAGGATCACATAAATTTAAAGACATATTAACACCAACAATTTTTTGTTATCTATTTTTTAATATACAATTTATGTTGGTTGTTTAATATTATTAATTTAGGAATGTTTTTTTTTATTTTGAATTTTATTTTACATATAACTACATTTATAATCATTGATATTTTATATGTTTATTATAAAATTAATGCTAGTATTCATAGCTTACACCAAAGTGACTGGTAAGTATTGTTTCAGTTTTTAAATCTAATTTTAGTTAGACACATCAATAAGTTTTATTCATGTGTATGCAAATTTAATTTGAGTCACTTAATTTAAAATAAAGAAGTGAATATTGTAAAATATTTAGCTATACTTATGTTCTTTGGTACATTTTAAAATTAAAATTAATTATCTAGTTGTCATTTATTAATAGAGCTCAAATTTTTATACTTGTAAAAATACATTTCTTTTGATTGTGGTAAAAGAAAAATGAAACTACAATAAATATTACAAAAATGTAAATTTACTATTTTATCTTGGATAGTTAAAAATTTATTTAATAAATATATTAAAATTAGTGACAAATTGAAAATTGCAAATAATCGATCTGAACCAAGTACTCAATAGTTTGGTTTGAAAAATAAATTGATGTCGACCCTGCACGGATGTTTTTGAAAGCTGGACAAATGGTAACAACCAGAAGATAAATGTTGTCACCACAATCAGTTGAACATTTATTGGTCTTCTTACATGACAACATATAAATATATTTTAATAAAATATTATTATTTTTGTTTTCACTGTTATTAGTATATAAGTTCATATGTTCATATTAACATTTAATAATATACCTATAATTTCAAATTTGATACCTATAAATAATATATAATAATTATAATATTATATTATAATTTTAGTTTTAAAATGTTTTGACTTAATATAACCTAACCTTTTTACTCTTTAAATGTTCAAGTTCGATAAAATATTTTAAAAATTCGGTTCGGGTTTGTTAATTTTAAGGTTTAAGTTTAGTTTAACCTTAAAAATCAGGTTTCATAACATCTCTAATTAAAATTATAAAATATGCAAAATATTAAAAAATACTTTTGATATCAGTTTTCAAATTGGAAAAATTGAAGATTATCACTAAAAAAAATTAGCAACTTGCAATTATCAAACTTATCATCATAGCTTTTCAAGGGATGCATTATTCTCTACACCATTTCTTAAACATAATTTAAGAATTTATAAAAAAAAAAAAAAAAAAAACCCAATAATAATATTGATCTATTAATCTTAAAATTTCCATGGAAGAATATGAATTTTAAATGTAATATATTATTTTTATATATATAAAAAAAAATTAAGTTGATATTGTGTATTTAAAAACTATCAGTATTAAATACTTACTCAAATATGGTTGATTATATATTCTGTACCCTCAAAGTAAAGAATACCATATATCACAAAATAGTAATTTTTCAGAAATTTAAGTTTTCATCTATAAATTGGTTTTCCTTCGTGACTAATAATACAAATTGCTATACACACTTACACATCATAATAAGTAAGATTTTTACAAGATAGAATCGCTAATTTTAATATTTGGCACTAATAATGATAATTTTAAAAATAATGTAATCTTTTGTGGTCACCTTATTTGTGATAACTAAATGTAGTTTTACATATTGTGAAAAATCTATATTTATTAAACATGTCATCTTATGGTTAAAATGAAATGTTTTGTAAGAATGTATTGCATATTAATAAATTGTCATAATATGGAAACTAAAAATAGTAGTTGGGGATAGACCAGTCTACTGCTCAAATAAACAATTTTTTGTACGAGTTTTTGTTTTGCTTGATTCAAATAATTTAAATGATTGAAATATACATCTAGATTAAAATTTAAACATTTAGACAAAAAAATCAATTAAGCATATTTGGCTACTAAGTATTAGGGGTAGAAATGTGTTTTTCGTGAACAAGTCTATTTGGATCGTGGAAATAAAACTAGTTCAATTTTGTTTTCATTTGTTGTGCCTTTGGTTCATATTATTACATGTAACCATGGTTAGATGACTAGAACGAATTAGTTCACATTTATAATATACATTGTGGTGATTAGTGATCACAAAATAATATATACATAAATTATTAATGAATTTGATAAATAATGATATTAAAATCTGCATAATTTATACACATATTTATTAAACATTTGTCCATTGTTAAGTTGAACAATATAACCGAATCACATGTTTATTCATAGCAAAAAATCTTAACAAAATGAATTGTTCAAATCACTTGTTTTGAACATCTCTAATTAGGGACAACAGTTTTTTGGCATATCATTAAGCTTTGACAACCGGTCTAATCAATAGTTAAGAACTACAGAGTTAAAATTTCAAGGATATAATAATGTAATTTTAATATTTTAAAAGTGCCAAAGACTGAAATTAGTATTAAATTTCATAGTAATTTATATAAATGAAAGTTGTTATATAAAATAATAAAATAAACGAATAATTAAGAAAATACAATTTCTTCTAACATATTAATATTTAATTTATTATAATCCATTTATAAGGTTAAAACCATAGGCATAACTCAGAAGGCGCTGGCTATTTTTTAGCACCCCAAAAATACACAGTAAAAATCCTTATTAAAGTAACAACTAAATATTTTATAATATTTAAGATAAACAATAACTATGAGATTCTTAAAAAAAATTGTGGTTATAAAAGATGTTGTACAATAGGGATTGTTTGACAGGCATTGCTTCCGTAGGTTCATGTCTATAATTTTAGCACCGCCTAAGTTGGTGGTCTAGTTGCACCTATAGTTACAATAAAATACAGATACTAATTGTCCAAGATAACTATTGAATTGCCATACTACCCAAAGAATCTACCACTTTAAATAATAAGTCAAAACTCAAATTTGATGGAATTTTTATATTTAATAAAATTATTATTTTACAAAAACATCCTTATTCATCTCCTTTGGTTACCCTGGTGTATATAACTTGTGCATGGTGTTGAATTACTTGTTTGATAAGACCTACATAAAAGTTTATAATAATTAATGAATTCGTTTAGAATTATATTATTCGTGTTTGACACAACTTACCTTTTTGGCAGAGCTCATCTAAAGCTTTCCTAGCCAACGATCCTCGGACCTTCAAACGTTCACTGACTACTGAAGGGGTAATAAGTTTGTATGATGGAACTTCTTTCAATAATTTGTCATACGAAACCTTGTCAAATAACACTTGGTTGTTCAACTTGTCACGAACTTTTCCCTTGGACCACTTCTACAATAATAATGTACACAAAACATAATATAACCTTAATTATAAACACTGTATGTATTATGATGGTTTACCTTCTTTTTGGCTTTGCCACCACCTCCTCCTTCTTTCTTCTTTTGAGTCTTCTGGGGCTGTTTTGACGAGCCCTTTGCATCTTTCTTGGGTGGCTAAAATAATGACATAAAACTATAATACTGATTTTTATCAATCTTTGTAAGATAATACATCATGTGAAAGATCCGAGTACAATTTTTCGGAAAAACATTTAAGAATGTTTACACAATAAACTATAGGATTTCACAGTACGAATTAAACCACGAATTCGAGGTTATCGATGAAGAAATTAACATAGAAATATAATTCATTACAAAAAGTCACATGGTTTATGACGATAATTGATAATTATTATTTGACCGATATGGCTAAAATGCTAAACGTATAATTATAAAATTAATTCATAGAATACTGGATATTTTAAAAACTTACCATGATTTCCTAAGGATTAAACCTGAAAAAGTAGAAATTGTGACTCGTACAGAAATAAACAAAATAATTTCACCGAAAAAGCAAAGAGAGACAAATCATGAAGATGAAGGCATAAAATTATGACGAATGAGTGAGAAAACGAAAACGTACAGTTTATACAACTGAAATTCAGTGTCGTTTTTAAAGTTGTTGCGCGAATTTTATTTTTAAAATCTCTATTAGGTACCACTGTTCTATACTTCTACGATTATCATTGCCCTACCAATAACAGCTGTTTAAAAATTTAATTTCTTATCAGTTATCATATAAAAATTATATTTTGCAATGTTAATATTAAGTTAATATAAATTTTGAACTTTAGTATTTATGTAATAGTGAAAATTACGTACGAAAATGTCCATTCACATATTCAATAACGTGAAGGTTCTTAGTATGTATGGCAATATACTTATTGGAATTTGTGTGTAAAACAATAATTGATTTACAGAGAATCGGACTTTGTCATTGGCCGTCTCTTCACATTATAGTACGGAATCGTCTGAACCTTATGTTATTAAAAATCCAGCATTATCGCAATTGAAAAGGGGTACCGGTGGGCGATCTAGTTTCAATGGAGTGGTCGCTACTGTATTTGGAGCTAGTGGTTTCTTGGGTGGTTACCTCATTAACAAATTGGGAAAAATCGGAACGCAGGTAATTGTCTTTATGAATAATTTTAATCATTATTGTTGTTGATAATTAAATATATAAACAGATGGTTATTCCATATCGAGGAGACTCATATTTTGTAAAAGAATTGAAACTTACCGGTGATTTGGGCCAAGTACTCTTTCAACCATACCATTTAAATGATGAAGAATCTATCAGAAAAGCGGTAAAGTATTCCAATGTGGTTATTAATCTGGTTGGACGTGATTGGGAAACAAAACATTTTAAATTCAATGATGTTCACGTTGAAGGAGCAAGACGCATTGCTCGCATTAGTCGTGAAATGGGCGTTGAAAGGTTGATTCATTTATCTGCACTCAACACAGATCCTTTGCCTGCCGTAAGTTAAATTCTTATAATTAAATTAATGATTTGAAAATGTATATATTCTATACAAAGTTTATAGGTTATTAATTTTTTTTTTTTAAATATGACTATTTTAGAAAATATTACAATCTATATAAGTAATAATCGAGGTAATACTTATGGTAGGAATGAAAAACTTAGAATGAATAATAACATGGTAGGAAATCTCACTTTAGAGACATCTAGTGGCTTTAAATTTGCAATGACATTAACATTTATAATTTATAGTTTATAAAGTTTTTAAGTCACGGTATCTAGTGGCTTTAAGTTACATTTACATTAACATTTAAATTTTACAGTTTTTAAGTACCAGTTGCGTTTGAGTCATCTGGTTGGGTTTCCAGGTAGTGATGGTAAGGCTAGATCCCTGATGATTTGTTTGGGGTTATAATATAGAGTAGCTGTTTCGTTGACAGAACAAATTTTGAGGTCAGAGTTTATTGTATTGTTGGAGATATACCGGGGTGCCCCAGTAATTATACGACAGCAGATATTCTAGAAGATTTGGATAGTTCTTTTGTTTAATGTTTTGGGAGAAGCCCAAATTATTATTCCCTATACCCAGAGTGATTATAGGAGAGTTTTATAAAGTATGAGTTTTGAGGGGTAATATTAGGTTTGAGCGCAGAAGAGGCTTTAGTAGGTGAAGTTGAGGTTTTTGAGTTTGTCCTTGAGATGGACAGGTTACTTATGTATTTTTTCTATGGAAATTAAATTTCAATGTTAAAATAACGTAACACATTACAAAATATAATGTAAAATATTAATTATTAATTAACAATAAATGTAAAATATTGTATTTGTTATGTTCTGTCCAAGGTTATATAAATCAATTTCATATCAGTTTATCAGCATTTTGACGTTAGTGTTTTTTTTTAAATTTGTATTATGTTTAATTGTATTGTATTATAAATGTATTAATTTTCTAAAAAAAAATTTGTTTTTATTAATCATATTTTAAGTGTTTTGACTAAAGTCTAAACCAAATTTTAATTTATTTGTCCAGCCAATTTATCTGTCGAAAGGATCAGGATTTTTGGCATCGAAAAAAGCTGGTGAACAAGCAGTCCTTGAAGAGTTTCCTAACGCTACTATTTTCCGTCCTTCAGACATGTATGGCCAAGGTGATCGATTTTTATTGTAAGTGTCTTTGCAGTCTTTAATTTTAAGAATTTAATGAAACAATTTAGAAAAGCCCATACTACAAGTGTTCTAAATTCTTGGGTTTTAAATGTATGTTAAACAATAAATTATAATTTCATATTATACAACTTAAAAAGAATTTAGTAACTTTTATATGATTATGGGTAAACCTAATTAAATTAAACGCCATTGTGGATTCAATCAAATTAGTAAACATTAGTGATTAACAGAGTGAATAAAAAAATAATTTAAAATTTTAACTATAAATGGACATGCCGTGAATGTGAGTATAAGGTGTCTAAAATTTATTATAAGAAACCTAATAGGAAAATTTGAAATGCGAGTTTACTGTAGTAAAATGAATTTTACTATTTTTATTATTTTTGATTTTTTTCAATTGCATCCTTTTTATTAACTTAAACTTGAATTAAATTGTGTTAATCATCAAATAAATTTGAAGATTTGACTGATTGCACACATTCAGACACTTCTTTTTATTAATATAGATTGAAAGAATCATATTTTAAAAACCTTAGACGATTTAATCAAAACTGATATATTTTATAGATAAAGTATTAAATATTAACATTTTATTAAAAATAAAAATATTTATCATTTTAAAAGTAATTTAATATTTACATATTTGAACAGAAAATTAGTGAAAGACTAAAATTTAGTTTAAAATAATACTTGCTTATGTAAAATAATACTATAGTATTATTTAATATTTGGCATATCAAGCATATTCAATTTCCATTCTTATTATTTTTTTTAAAATTTGTTATTTAAAACAATAGTTTCACTTTCAACTTTAAATTTACTTTCTTTCTTATCCCACAAAAGTGAATATATGGAGTATAATATTATTTTGTTAATGTAATTCAGATATAAATATTCGTAGATGCTTAAAATTTTGACAGTAAACATATATTTTTGTTTAGGCCTTTTTCAACAATTTTCAAAATACTTTAGCCATTATTGAGCTATTTACAGACATTTTGGTTTAGTGAGTATTTTCGCATTTTCATTTAATAGGTATTCTGTTGATAAAATTTTAAAAATGACTAAATACAGATGCTTGAAAATTTGACAGGTTCATTGTAATTCATACTTAATGGTCAAAAAAAAAAAAAAACTTACTGTAATGAAGTAAGGTTAGGTTTTAATTTTTTTATGATTTCTAATATCAAATATTAATGAAAATCTTAAATATTACAGTCTTTCAAAATATATATGACCAAAATTCGTTCTGAATCATATTTTGTTAACAATGATTTATCGTTGGTTACAGGTATTAATCAAATAACATTATGTATCACACCTTCCCAACTACCCGCCTACAACAGTGGCCACACTCATTCTCAGTATCGGCTCTTTTTTTATTGTCTATTTACCTTTATTGGTGTATTTATTTATTGTATGTTTCAAAATATATTTAATGAGTATACATGATGAAGTTATATTCTGTTATTAAAATATGAGAATATTTAACTTTTATATTTACAATAATTTATATTATTATTATTATACTAATGTAAACGTACTATGAAGTTAATTTATTTTAAAATTAATGTTTATGATATTTTTAGAATGTACAGTCATGCATGGCGTCGTAATGGGCAAAATCTTGTTTTATGGAAGAGAGGTGAACAAACTGTTAAACAACCTGTTGCTGTAGCCGATGTAGTGAATGGCATTGCAAATGCAATGCTTGATCGTTCAACATCAGGAAAAATATATCAAGCTGTTGGGTATGTCAAGTGTGATAGTCAAAATCTATTTTTGATAAAAATAATTTGAAGAAAAATAAAATTATTTATAATTGTAGACCCACTCCATACCTGTTAGCAGACTTGATTGATTGGATTTTTGCAATTTTACGTCGTAACGAAGATTTCAACTTTAAATTTAAACGTACTGGTTTTCTAGAAAACCCACAACATCTAATCAAAATGTGGTTAACAGATAAGTTATGTCCCAGCTGGCCTCCGGGTTATGTTACCGCTGAACGTTTTGAAAGAGTAAATATTATTGTCAAATCTTTAGTATTTATAAACATTTTATCTTAATGTTTTTGTTGTAGGAATTTGTTACTGACACACTTGATGAAAGGCTACCAACATTAGAAGATTTAGGCGTAAAGCTATCTAAAACAGAATATTATATACCTTTTGAACTTCAATTTTTGAGAGATTACCAATATTATATAGATTCAATTGGTGAATTCAAAGTTCCAGATCCTCCTCAGCCTTACGTAGCTCAAGCTAAACGTAATTTTGCATGATTTGTACATTGAAACCAGGTAATCTTCATATAATGTACCTATGTTATTTAGTCATGATAATAGTTAAGACATATAGTAAATATATTGTTTAAACTTCACGTTTTGTTTTTATTTACAAACTATAAATTCCTTGAAAATAATCTTTATCTTAATAGTAAATATTATAATAACATAATAATTATATATTTTTATCTATAAAATAGTTACAAAAAGTACCGTTCACTTTTAAATCCAGTCATAATCAGAAGGCTATATTATATTATAGGAATACTGACTAGGTATATTTATACGGTATTAATAACTTAAATTGAAAAGTCATTTTCATTAAATTATATAATAATATTGTTTACCTAATCCTAATCTCTATATCAATAAGACTTGTATTTAAGATGCATTTTATTATAAAGTCTAAGTTGTCTTAATGGCTAGTATCACATCCGTCCTGAATCGTTGTTTTGATGTTTCAGAAACCATCTGAAGAACGTGTTTGTCGCAATGGTCCTAAGCGGCTGTGCCACCAATCAGAGTCTAAAAATAAAATAAACAAATGAAGATCTTAAATGTTTAAAATACAAATCATATTATAGTAAAATCAACATTTATTGTTAAATAAAAAATACAAATATGTTATATTTTGTTAAGTATAGTTTATTTCAATATTCAATTTTTTTTTTCCAAATGTATTAATTGTCAACATAATAATATTTATAGAAAATGAAACTAGCATTACAATGTGAATAAAATCAAATGTCTATAATTATAAATACTAATAGTATATATATTTTGTATGGTATACTAGTTAGATGATCTAGAATTGTACAGTTTTATTAAAGTTAAACCAAACTACTGAAAAATAAAAATATACAAATACTACAGGTGTTTAATATTCCACCCGTAGATAAGTTTACATGACATTTTTTTATTGGGTTTAAAGTCCTAAAATAACATCTATATTTTAATAATTATAAAAATTTGATTCATTTTAAATAAAGATCCTTGATAAATGTCCAATTTTTACCATTGAGAGTAGAGTAGTAGGTATTATTATCATAGATACTTTCAGCTCTATGGTTCAAAATTAAACCTTATTTAACCTATCTATAGTTTAAAATTAAAAATGCACGTGTCCTGGTCTAAATTGACCATTGAGTCTAGTCACACACACACATAGGAGGGAGGGAGTTGAATATTCATCCTTCCAATCCTGACACTCTTGTATTTTAGATTTGTATCGTAACAAGTGGTCTGTAGGTATTACTAAGATGTTATTTATGTCCGTAAACTACATATCGAAAAGAAATCTTGTTCCAATGTATAGAGTTTAGCACTTTGTCTGAAATGTAATTTTCTCTAGTTGGTGTATTAGGTTGATAATATTTTGATTTCACAAGGGGTTTTCAAAATAATTGGGAAAAACCAAAAATGGCAAAAAATAAAAGCTGATGAATTTACGATGTTACGATTTCTTTATTTTAAACTATTATAGCATATATTTTCTACCAAAAATATTATTGTAATAAAAAAACAACAAGAGATCTTTTTTATTGCATTTTTAATCTAGTTTGTGAGTATAAGAGTCATTTTTTGATTTTCTCTGTAGTTTTATTAATAATTGAGCAAAACTGAAAAGTACATAGAAAGAACAGGAAAATTCACAAAAATAATTCTTTTATTATATGTCATACAATGGTAAAAAAATAAATAAAATATAATTGAGTGTTAAAATAGTATTTATTTTTTTTTTACAATAATTGAACATTTTGACGAAATGGAAAATTGTAAATATTACGGTCTTGTAAAACATGTATAACTGAACATCGTTTCGAATCGTTTTTATTGCTATACCTAATCAATTTTCCAAAAAAAATATATAAAGTTTTAAATTATTATTTTATTTTGTAAGTTATGGTATGAAATATTTCATGGGCTTTAGCCTTCCCCCACTGTATTATTTAAATACGCCCCTATTTGTACTGCCAGTGCGATATGTATCTACAGTTACACACATAATTTAAATTCGAACTTAGTTGTTCGTGCAGGTAACCGAAGCTAAACATTTAATTTGCGATTAGAGCCGTTTCATGGATTTACGATAATAGTCATAGGTACTAAGTAGGTACCGACGGTAGTATATCTGAATCGCATCATAAGTATAGTTTTCGACTCGCAGAAGACTCGCCCCAATAATCAACACCGTCAATAACGTTTTCCACTTTTTTTTTTGTATAATTCGGTGAAATAATCATAGAGACCTGACATTTTCACCGATTACGTACCCACTTATATTAGTATTTTCTTTAGACGTGATAAATTTTAATCACTAAAATATTTTAGATTTTTTTTTTTGTTAGTAGTGATAGCTAAGTAATTGCAATTTTTCCGTGACATTGATAACGGTATAAAAAACTGAAACTATATAATCGCCTCGAAATGGACCGACGCGGGCTGGCACCTAATAGTATAAAAAAACAATAAAGGCAATAGGAAAACTGTAGTATTGCTATTTAATAATAATTACAATATACCTAAGCAACGATCAGCGTTGGCGTTCAAAGATACTAGGTAGGTAGGTAGGTATTTAATATTTATTACGCGTACAGTTCGGGATCGCGGTCGCAACAAAATCGGAGGCGATTGACGGACGAATGAAAAGAAATATGTATAAAATAAAAAACGGCACAATTCCGTCGGAGAGTGGGCGTAACGATGTTTCGTTGTGTATGTATAGGTATCTATATGATATACGACTAGCGACCGTGTTAATGGTTGCGGTTTATAACAAGCACCCGTGTTTAATTGTCCGGGCCGAAGTCAATGCCTTCGCGAGGTGCACGTCGCATAATATAACCGTACCTACTACAATGCGTCAAATAAAAATCGTGTTAGTTCCCGTGACAATTAGTGGTGGATCGCTGCAGTTATAGGCAAATGATGAGACACTGACTGAGACTACTCAATCCACAATATCGCTGTATTTCATCTAGCTAGGTATTTTCAGTTTCAAAGGGCGCCGTGCATTTCGCGCCCGTTACCCTTTTCGTGCTATTTCCGCCTGTTTTCGAAATCTTTAACCTGCTGACATTTTATAAGGCGAACTGTACACTAAAAATTTAAAATTAATATTATGTACTAGAATCGTATGCAATTGTCAAATTATTATAGTTTAAACGCTCAATATCATAGATAAATGTGTATTTAATATTTTAATTTATTAAAATATCGTATTACCAGTAGGTACATAATTGTCAACCTATTAGCGTGTAACCTAATTTATTACGAGTGCATTGTTTAAAATTATGTAAAACTAATGTGATATAATATAATCGTATAAAATTGTCAGATTATAGTTTCGATTCAGATTTCTGAACAAATGACAACTGATGGGTATAATAACTATTATACCTATTAATACATTTATATTTCATGTAATTTTATACGTATGGATTTTCCATCGTAATTTTATAATATAAACTATAAATCGACGTAGGCTTCGGATAACCGATAACCGTATTATTATTATCGATCAAATGTTCACTGTTTAGTAGTGTTTTGACTTCTGTTGTGTCACGTTCGGATTTTTAAATACACAATGAAATTTCTTGTTTTTGAGATTTGAAATAGGTAAAATAATCTTAGAAACACAAATCTTTGTCCACTTGAACATACCTAGTTATTTTGCAGTATTAAGAGTTTAATGGTTTAATAATTACAGTTTTCAATATGAATAGGAGCTAGCAATATTGTATATTGTTTATGAGTGTGCCACTGTTTTAATTGGGAAGGTGGGAATGTATGCACTAGGCATGGGTGCCCACAGAAAATTCATCAGGGAGGGGCAGTGGCTTAGTAAAGTGTTGAAAGACCTTTTTTTTTTTCTTTTTTATACGTATAACTCTAAAAAAATAAGAACCTGCCTAGGCCCTTTGATGACCAGGCCGACATAGAGAGATAAGTTCAACTTATGATTGAATTCGTGTTAAATTTTCAATCATGTTTGCTGGGCCAAAACAATAAATTTAATTACCTTTAAATTTACTTAGTAGAACAAAATGAAAACTAAAACAACTCTATTGTTTAAAATGGCTATAATATAGCTTAAAAATTACCAGAAGGTTTTGAAAATTGTACCACGTCTAGAAAGTGGTAATATAAGTTTAAAATATTCGATATTAAGTAATTGTTATTTGGTAAATTTTCTCGTTTTCTCTACATTTTTTTTCAATTATCGAGAAAATAAGGAAAATTAATTACTTACCTCCAAAATGCACCTACTAGACAAAAATACTACTAGAGCGCTCCTTGAAGTTGATGATCAGAGAAAAACTATGGGTAGAACAATTGTTCACAAGTGGAGAAAAAGTAAAAAAAAAAAAGCTTTCACTAGGAACTGTTTTAAATGGGATGTTGGGAAAGTAGGATACACATATAGTTATTTAATTTATATCTGTACACAACGATGAACCATTTCTAATAAAAAACGATTCTGAGTGAAGTTCAGCTAAACTTGTTTTGAAATGTCGTAGTTTATACAATGTTCGTTATTTCATCAATATTTGATCTAAATATGCTTTTAAAAAGCTATTACATTAAGCTTAACTTTTTATACCATTGAGTTAAACTATTATAATATTATCCTCGTATTAAATTTTCAAGTATTTCTATTCTATTAAACAATTTTATCCGCATTAAACCAAAAAAAAAAAATTAACAAAATTCAAAAATATCAAATACCTATAATTACCTTAAGAATCGTCAAAATATTTAAAAAAAATTCTAATATATGTACCAAATATTCTGTGAAATTTTCAAGTCTACGATAGTTTTTAACTAAATTACAATAAAAAACGAAAATAACGAAACCTTTTATGCCATAATCTTTATCGTTTTTCCTACGTTATTTTTCGGTTTTCCCAATTATCATGGAAACTACATGGAAAATTAAAAACTGACTTTTTTATGCATATACTAGGCAACATTTTGTTTTAGAAAAAATGCTTGAAATTTGGAAAAAGATTTTTGGTTGAAAACAAATACCGAACAATATTGAAATAATGAAATCGTTATTGACGGCACATATATATTTGCCCATTTTCCTATACATTATTTTCAGGTTTATCCTAAAATATTATGAAAATCGTTTGAAAAAAAAAATTACCTCCCTAATACATCAAGTATAAGATTAAAAATTCAATAAAAAGGTATCTTGTTATTTTCGATTGGAACAAAATATGTCTTGTTTACAGACAAAAAAAAAAAAAATCATACTATAGTAGGACTTGGCCACACGCACAATACACATCATAGTAATACTAAGACGTTTCTGGTTACGCTAAAAATCCAAAATAAATTTTTTAAAAAAATAAAAAAGATGACTAGAATATTAGGAACGAATATACAAGAGTCGTCAAGACGAGTAGCGCGGGGTATATTATCATATTAAGACAGGATAAATGAGACGGTGGCGAGAGAAGAAGAAACGCCGAGATAGTCAAGAAGATAAAATACACACATATTACATATTATACATTATATAGATGACATGGGAGCCGGGGAAGATGGAGACCAATGAATAAGTGGCTAGAGAGTCGGTATAAAGGTTATATTATATATATTATATACCGGTGAGAGGGTATGAGATCGTGCGGAGTAGACGGAGAAATGGTATAATAAAGGATATACATACACCAGCGGTTCCCAAACTGTGCAACACTGCGGTGCCCAAAAGACCCCGCGAGTACTTTCCAGGGGCACCCCGACTCATACACAATTATTTATAATTTATTGTAATTTTCTTTTGAATTTCAGATTCCGAGCGTAGCGAGGGAGCTATTGGTTTTACTAGGATGTGTATTTTTTTTTTCTTTGTTCTAATCTTTGGACACGTTTTTTCCTAGTAAACTTGCTCCGATTTTTACGTCTAGCAACTTTTCTGAAAGCTTAGGCTGTCTATATGGTACTATAAACAAGTCATTTTTGGATTTTCGATGCCATTTTTTAAATAAAAGCATTTAAATGGGATAAAACGTAGGAAAACGTACAATTTCAAGATTTCATTATTTTATAAAAACACGGATGACGGTTTTTACCAGAAAAATACACGTAGAGACTCGAAATTTGGTAATAATAATACTTATAATAATATTGGACTTATCTAGATGTGGTGAAATTTCCAAAATCATTGGATGACTTTTTTTTTTTTTTCATAAACGATTTGAAATCAAATTCAAATGAAAATTGCAAAAAAAATTACGGCACTTCAAACTATGTATTACCGAACTGCGCTCGGAATCGTCTTTCATCAGTAACGGTTTATCGTTGCTTACAGATATAAATGAAGTAACGTAATGTATCCTATATTCCTGACTTCTCACTTAAAACAGTGGCCGCTCCCATCCCCAGTATCAGCTCTTTTTGTTAATTTCAAATTGAATCTTATATAAATAAAATTATTAAGTTGGCAGTAAGCATAGAATGCTTACTTTGTATTATGTTCAGGAAAATTATAAAAACTGATTATCAACGAGAATTGCTAGCGTTGATTTGTTATGTATATTCCTCGTTGTACCTATTCACGGAAAGGCACCATGGCTGAATTTAGTCCAAAAAAGGCACTGACGGAAAAAAAAATTTGGGAACCGCTGACATGCACAGTTGACAGTACAGCGGGAGGATATGTGATGGAGGGCGTG